AAAAATCGAAAAATAAAAAATCGGGTCATTAAAAATTAAACAAAAAATTGGAAATCAAAAAATTAAAAACTGAAAAACTGAAAATTCAAAAAATTAATGGGGTTGATAAATTGAAAAAGTACAAATTTGTAAATTTGAAAAAATCCAAAAACTGACAATAGAGAATTTAGAAATTAAATGAAAAAAGAAAAACTGGAAAATCGAATAACTAAAAAATTAAAAGTTGGGATATGAAAAATTAAACGAGAAATTGAAAAATCGTATCCTGAGAAATCGAAAAATTAAAAAATTAAAATTTGAAAAATCGATGAATTGTAAAAAAAACATTTGAAAACGAAAAACTGAAAGATCGGATTGAGAAATTGAAAAATTACTATAAATCGAAAAATTAAAAAATTGAAAAATTGGAAAATCTAAAAATCGAAAATGGAGAAACCAAAAATCAAGAAATCGAAAAGCTGAAAAGTGGAAAAATTGCAAAACCGTACATATGGCAAAAAAAATCGAAAAATTAAAAATCGGGTCATTAAAAATTAAACAAAAAATTGGAAATCAAAAAATTAAAAACCGAAAAACTGAAAATTCAAAAAAATTAATGGGATTGAGAAATTGAAAAAGTACAAAATTGTAAATTTGAAAAAATCCAAAAACTGACAATAGAGAATTTAGAAATTAAATGAAAAAAGAAAAACTGTAAAATCGAATAACTAAAAAATTAAAAGTTGGGATATGAAAAATTAAACGAGAAATTGAAAAATCGTATCCTGAGAAATCAAAAAATTAAAAAATTAAAATTTGAAAAATCGATGAATTGTAAAAAAAACATTTGAAAACGAAAAACTGAAAGATCGGATTGAGAAATTGAAAAGTTACTATAAATCGAAAAATTAAAAAATTGAAAAATTGGAAAATCTAAAAATCGAAAATGGAGAAACCAAAAATCAAGAAATCGAAAAGCTGAAAAGTGGAAAAATTGCAAAACCGCACATATTGCAAAAAAAAACCTGAAAAACCGAAAAATTAAAAATCGGGACATTAAAAATTAAACAAAAAATTGGAAACTTAAAAAATTAAAAACCGAAAAACTGAAAATTCAAAAAATCAAAAAACTGTTAACAGAGAATTTAGAAATTCAAAGAAAAAGAAAAACTGGAAATTTGAATAATTGAAAAATTAAAAATTGGGATATGAAAAATGAAACGAGAAATTGAAAAATCGTATCTGGAGAAATCAAAAATTACAGAATTATAAAATTACAAAATAAAAATTTGAAAAATCGATAAAATGTAAAAAAACATTTAAAAAACTGAAAAACAAAAAAATTCAAAATCGAAAACTGGAAATTCGAAAAATTCAAAAACTGAAAGATCGGATTGAGAAATTGAAAAATTTCTTCATCGAAAAATAAAAAAATTAGAAAAATTAAAAAATTGAAAGATTGAGTTGAGAAATTGAAAAATCTAAAAATTGAAAAACTGAAAAGTGGAAAACTAAACCGTATATTGCAAAAAGAAAAACTGAGCAATGGAAAAATTGAAAAAACCAAAATCAGGACATGAAAAATTAAACAAAAAATGAAATTGAATAAATTACAAAATTTTAAAATCTAAAAATTGAAAATCGAGAAACTAAAACTGAAAAAGTGGAAAGTTGAAAAATAGAAGCACTTCAAATTCGTCGGTTTGAAAAAAGAAAAACGGGAAAATCGAAAAATTGAAAAATTAAAAATAGGGGCATGGAAGACTAAACCAGAAATTGAAAAATCGGATGATTGAGAAATCTAAAAATTACAGAATTTTAAAATTACAAAATTTGGTTAAATGTAGAAACTGAAATATTAAAAATTGAAAAATTGAAAGTTCGAAAAATTGAATAAGCTGAAAAATTGGATTGAGAAATTGAAAAGTTACAAAATTATAGAATCAAAAAATCTGAAAATTGAAAGTCCAGAAAATAAAAAATTAAAAAATTGGAAAATCGAAAAGTTGAATATTGAAAAAAATGCAAAATGAAAAATTGAAAATTCTAAAAATTAAAAATTGGATGATGGGAATTAGAAAAATTACAGAGTTGTAAAAATGACAAAATCTAAAATTCGAAAAATGGAGACATTATAAAAATAAAAATTTGAAAAATTGAGAAATCAAAAAATTAAAAGTCGCAAAACGAAAATTCGAAAAATTGAAAAAGTGGGAGATTGGATTGAGAAATTCTTCAAAATCGAAAAATTAAAATTTTGTTAAAACTTGAAAGATGGGGTTAAAAAATTGTACAATTACAAGGTTGTAGAATTGAAAAATCTAAGAGTTGGAAAATGGAAAAATTGCAAAATCGGAAAATTAAAAAAAAGTAGAATCGAGAGATTGAAAAATTGAAATACTAAAATTTGAAAAATTAAAAATCGGGATATGAAAAACTAAACGAGAAATTCAAAAATCGAGAAATTAAAAACATTAAATATTGAAAAATTTTGCAACGAAAAACTGAGCAATTAAAATTCGAAAAATTTAAAAACTGAAAGATCAGATTGAGAAATTGTAAAATTACAGAATTGTGAAATTACAAAATCAAAATTTGGAAAATCGATAAATTTGAAAAAGTCAACATGTGACAAACTGAAAAATCAAAAAATTAAAAATCGAATAGTTGGATATTCTAAAAATTCAGAAACTGAAAAATTAGACGGAGCAATCGAAAAATTACTAAATCGAAAATAAATTACAAAAATTGAAAAATTGAAAGATCGGATTGAGAAATTGATAAATTTAAAAATTTAAAATGGAGAAACTAAAAAATCGAATAGCTGAACACTGGAAAAATTTGTGGACGTATTTGAAGAAAGAAAAATTGAAAAATCCAAAAATTGAAAACTTGATAGATTAAAAATTTGGACATGAAAAACTAAACGAAAAATTGAAAAATCAAAAAATTTAAAATCGAAAAATTGAAAATTCAAAAAATTGAGAAATTGAAAGATTTATATAATTACAAAATTTTAAAATTGTAAAATCTAAAAGTTGAAAATCAAGAAAATAAAAAATCAAAAAATTGATAAGTCGAAAATCTGAAAAATGGGAAAATTGCAAAATCATAAATTTGAAAGAAGAAAAACTGGAAAATCGGGAAATTGACAAATCAGAGGATGAAAAATCGAAAAATTACAGAACAATAAATTGTAAAATTACAAAATCTGAAAATTGAAAAATCGAGAAATTGAAAAAAATCAAGTACTAAAAAATTGAGAAATCGAAAAATGAAGAAATCGAAACGTTGAAAAATTGAAAAAATTGTAAAATGGAAAAATTAAAAAATTAAAAATCCATAAAAATTTTAAATTCGAAAAATGGGAAGAACAGATTTAGAAATTGAAAAACTACAAAATAGTAACATTAAAAATCTAAAAATTGAAAATTTAGTTTCTCGAAAATAAAAGCTGAAAAAATGGAAAGCTGAAAAGTGGAAACACTTAAGTTCGTAAAATTGAAAATAAAAGAATAACTCGAGAATCGAGAAATTGAAAAATTAAAAGTTTGGCCATGAAGAACTAAACGAGAAATTGAAAAATTGGATGATCGAGAAATCTAAAAATTACAGAATTGTAAAACTGATGAAAAATTGGATTGAAAATTGAAAAGTTAGAAAATTATAATATCAAAAATACCTGGAAATTGAAAATCGGGAAAATAAAAAATCAAAAATTGGAAAACCGAAGATGAAAAAACTTGCAAAAGCGAAAAATTGAAAAATTAAGAATCTAAAAATGAAAAATGTAGAAATTGAAAACATCGAAATTTGAAAAACTGAAAAATCAAAAAATTAAAAATCGAAAAACGAAAATTTGACAAATTGAAAAATTGGAAGATTGGATTGTGATATTGAAACATTACTAAATCAAAAAAACAAAAATTTCAAAACTTAAAAATTGGATTGAAAAATTGTATGATTACAAAATTGTAGAATTGAAAAATCTAAAAGTTGAAAAGTGGAAAAATTGCAAAATCGTAAAATTGAAAAAAGAAAAATTGGAGAATCGAGAGATTGCAAAATTGAAGCACTATAAAAATTGAAGAATTAAAAATCGGGTTATGAAAAATTAAACGAGAAATTGAAAAATCTAGAAATTGAAAAAATTGGGCAATTAAAGATCGAAAAATTAAAAAATTGAGAAATCGGATTGAGAATTTGGAAAATTACAAAATTGTAAGATTGAAAAATCGACCTGTAAAAGGAAAAATTGCAAAATCGCAAAACTGAAAATTCGAAAAATTGGAAGATCGTATTAAGAAGTTGAAAAACTACGAAATTATAAAATTGAAAAATCTAAAAATTAAAAACTGAGAAACCGAAAAATAAAAAAATTGAAAAATCGAAAAACTGAAAACTGGGAAAATTATAATTAAAAAAAGAAAAACTGGAAAATCGAGAAATTGAAAAATTGCAGAATTGTAAAATTGTAAAATCTGATAATTGAAAATTTGAGACAATGAAAAAATTGAAAAAACGAGAAATTGACCAAATTGATGGAGACATTTAAAAGTCGGATAGAATACTACGTAGACAAAACTTAATTAACATTTTAAGTATGTTATGATATATTAAATCTGATAGGCAGACGAGGGGCAACCGACAAACAGACGGAAACGTGAACTCGCATTTTTTTATGTTATGAAACGCCAAGAAAATGTGAAATTTGAGATTTCTCAAAATAACTGAATTAGAAGCCTTATTTTCCGTTAATTAAGTTACTTATATAGTTGCTGTGGTCACAATATGGCGTCATATTTTTTTATAGAATCATATTAGTTATCTTGTATTTGCACTTTGTTAGCTTTTATTATACTGCTATTGATAATTCTTCCAATTATCAATATTATATCAGAGTGATCAGATTTTCGTTCAAACTATGCCTTATCAACATCGTTTAGTCCATTACCTCTAGCGGAACACCCTGTATATTTGTACTGTCTTCTACAACCTTGATAATTTAATAACACAGTTACCTTCTTTGTGTCTTGTCCGTCGCACTCCTCACCAGCCTCCGTTTCGGCCCCCTTTCGTCGTCATCCGGCGTCGTCGAGTTCGTGGCCCTCTTCTCTTGATTTTTTTGATTTTTCATTCCGTGTGCGAGAATCAAGGACGTGGCCATCGAAGCGCGTCTGGCCGGAAAGCTCGCTGAAAAACTTCTGATGGCATGTATGCTTGATGATTGGAACGAAACTAGAAGCAGAAAATACGCATAAAAGTTGCAATAATGTGCCGTGATTAAAGATATAACCCTTGCAAAAAGGGAAATAATCGTTGAAAGTTATTGGAAAACGATCGCTTTTTTTTCTGCTACGTTATATATTTGTGACATGACAAGAATATGTTGGGGGAGGTTTATGGGGACGATATTGTCATGTCGTGCTCTTATTATCAATAGTTTATGGTTTGTATTCGATTAAACATATTTTGTTGATTTTATTAGGACGCGCAGTTTGACAGGGGATGCACGCTAACGACTAATCTTGTATTGTTTTTGCAATAATTTTCATTCTGGGTGCTCTAGATATTGGATTTAAAATCATGTGCGGGAAGCGCAGGAATGGTTTATAATGAAGATTCGCAATGAATAGATCTGTTCATAAATTGAGGTCTCGCAAGTTGAAATAAACGATTTGCTGTTGAACAGATTGGCTATAAATGGTTGTCACACCGTGGCACTGACACCAAAAAATTGCTCGTTGCTCATACCGACTATAATGTACATGATTTATCGTCATTCTTAAAAAAAAAAAACATTTTAAAACGTTTGAATATTATAATTTTAAAACTTTGGTAAAAGTGGTGAAGATCGAATTCAACCCTAGTTCTCTGCATATTAAACGTTTGTTTTCAGACGTTTCAGTCTTCTGCGACGTCTGCAATTCTTGTTTCAGAGTCACTTCATATTTTTCGAGATGACATCATCAATTTTATGATGGGTATGTAGGGAAATCTTGTAATAGAATCCACTTAAATGAGCCATTTCATGAAAAAATAGCTCCCTCGTTTCCGTCAGACTGTCTGCTGGCTGTCGGCAATTTTATTAGATACGCAATCTTCGAAAGTTTATCTTAGATAATAAAAATCCGACTTCGTTGAAATCGTATAAACATTTAGGGTTATCGTAAACATGGTAAATTGCTAATCTCCATTCAACTATTTATTTCCTTCAAAAACTTGATGACGTCATCTGAAAATTTTATGAAAAAAATAATTTATTTAAGAAACTAAATTTGTTATCGTGATTGTGTTGCCAAGACGAGAAAATAGAGTTTTTTTTTACGATGAACATAACACTCTGAAGCGTTTTTTTTTTTTCTAATTATTAACAATTGTGACTTCCTGAGGGTAACCTAAGGTATTCTGATAGGGTCCATCCGACGAATAGATACTTTCGGGTCTTGTCGACGTTTCATGATCGCCAGAGTACGAAAAAATAGGTGTCTTATTTCCGCCTGTCTGTTGTCTCTGTGTGTCGATTTTTATTAGACAGATAATCTCCAAAACTACCATACCGATTGTCGTCAAATTTTATATGTATGTTAGGAACAGGCGTGGATAGGACTATCTGGAAATCGGGAATTTAGTAAAATTGATTTCCTTCAGGGGACGGTCTAACATTTTTCCCGCTCTGGTTCAGCAGGTCCGAGCTCCAAGATTCTTTTAAACTATTTCAAAAACAAACCACAAGCGGTATCCGAGATTCTAAGTAATTGCTTCAAAAACAAGACAAGGGATCCCCGAGAATGTTTCAAACTACTTCAAAAACAAAACAGAAAAGGTCCCCGAGATTCTTTCAAATTACTTCAAAAACAAGACCCACAAGAGGTCCCCGGGATTCTTTCAAACTACTTCAAAAACAAGACACAAGTGGTCTTAGAGATTCTAATTAATTATTTCAAAAGTAAGACAAATAATCCCTGAGATTATTACAAACAACTTCAAAAATAAAACACAAGGGATGCACAAGAAACTTTCAAACTACTTCAAAAACAAAACACCAAAGGGGGTGCCCTAGACTCTTTCAAATTACTTTAAAACAAGACAAGGCATCCCCGAGATTCTTTCAAACTACTTCAAAAAACAAAACACAAGGGGTTCTCGAGATTCTTTTAAATTACTTCAAAAAACAAAACAGAAGAGGCCCCCAAGATTATTTCATATTACTTCAAAAACACGACACAGGTAGTCTCAGAGATTCTAATTAGTTGTTTAAAAAACAAGACAGGAGATCCCCGAGATTCTTTTAAATTACTTCAAAAACAAAACCCACAGAGGTTTCCCGAGATTCTTTCAAACTACTTCAAAAACAAGACACAAGGGTTCCCCGTGATTCTAATTAATTGCTTCAAAAACAAGACAAGGGATCCCCGAATTGTTTTAAACTAGTCCAGAAAAAAATAGAAGAGGTCCCCGAAATTCTTTCAAATTACTTCTAAAATAAGACCCACAGAGGTTTCCCGAGATTCTTTCAAACTACTTCAAAAACAAGACACAAGGGTTCCCCGTGATTCTAATTAATTGCTTCAAAAACAAGACAAGGGATCCCCGAATTGTTTTAAACTAGTCCAAAAAAAAAAAACAGAAGAGGTTCCCGAGATTCTTTTAATTTACTTCCAAAAACAAAACACAAGGGGTTCCCGAGATTCTTTTAAATTACTTCAAAAAACAAAACAGAAGAGGCCCCCAAGATTATTTCATATTACTTCAAAAACACGACACAGGTGGTCTCAGAGATTCTAATTAGTTGTTTAAAAAACAAGACGGGAGATCCCCGAGAATCTTTTAAATTACTTCAAAAACAAAACCCACAGAGGTTTCCCGAGATTCTTTCAAACTACTTCAAAAACAAGAACCACAGGAGTTCTCCCACATTCTTTTAAACTACTTCAAAAACAAACATAAGGGGTCCTTGAGATTCTTTTAAATTATCAAAAAAAGACCTACAGGGTGTTTCGAGCTTCTTTCGAACAGTACCTACTTCAAAAACAAAACACAAAAGACCCCTGAATTTTTTTCAAATTACTTCAAAAACAAGACAAGCAATCCCCGAGATTCTTTCAAACCACTCCGAAAACAAAACACAAGGGGTCTCCCAGATTGTTTCAAATTACTTCAAAAATAAGACAAGGGATCCCCGAGATTGTTTTAAATTGGTAAAAAAAATACACAGATCCCTGAGAATATTTCAAATTGTTTTAAAGACTACACGTCACAGGTAGGGGCGGAATCCAAATTTTCTATGGGTTTAAATGAATTAAAATTGCGGTCTTTCAGGTGCCTGTCTAAATTTTTTCCGCTCTGAGAGTTCTTAAGGTCCCATCCGCCCCTTCATTTAGTAAACGTCATTTGCATTTTTTAAAATAACATACTCGTGTATTTGTGGTTTATGAATTTGACTTGAGTTTCTACCCTAGGCATTCAGATTTTTTCGCAAAAAATCTAAATTGTTTCATCACATTTGATACTACCATAACAACATTAACGTGTGGTAAACTCTGTGTTCGTGCCTTAGAAATGTTGAATTACAATTTTTTTTTTTTATTGATCAAATAAAGAACTTTTCAACGATTCACCCCCTTTTTCTCGAAAATTTGAAAATACAGTAATGTTGCACACACCTATATTTAATAATAATAATAAAATTAAGAAAAAAAAGGGCGCGTGGGCTATCCAAAAAATATCCTTCATATCCTTCGAGCACTCCGAAAATTAGCCAAGCGCAACTCACTTTTTTAATACGAAATTTTGACTTTTTTTCAGCCACCTCCGAAAATTACCTAGAGAGATTTTTTTTACAGATGTCGACCTCTAAAAGTTATTTTTGGCTTCATTTTGTTAGAAAAGTCCCACCGTTTTTCCAAAATCGCTCATATACTAAGTGACATGGAAATCAGAACACCCAGTAATAGTAAGAATATTTTAATAATTTTTTGTATACATATGTATTAGTGTAAGATAAGTAGAGTACTACTTGCCAAAATAAGACTGATTTTGGCAAATGACATACTCTCTACAAAAACAAAGTGTGGGTGGGCGGGCTAACAGTTGTTTACTAAGATAAGACTGATTTTGACAAATGTCCTTCGAGCACTCCGAAAATTAGCCAAGGATTTTTTTAATGACCTTAGGTTTGTAGAAGCTGTTTTCGGTTCCATTTCTTCGAAAATTCCAACAATTTTACCAGAATCGATCAAATGAAAAAATGTCAATTTTCGAGGCAAAAAAATTCATTATAAAACCAAATTTTTCGAAAATTTTGGTCTGTGGGCATGAGCACTTTTTGTTTTTCAAATAAGCTGTCCAGATTTATATCCCAAAATTTTTTTGAGTATTTTTAAGCAAGTTTTCAAAAATCTCAAATTTTCCACCGCATAAATTTTTTCAGCGTTTTTCCAGCATGATTTGGAAATTACTCAGACATCATTTCATCAAAAATTCCAATAATTTTTCCAGAACTAATAAAATGAAAATTGACAATTTTGAAGATGTTTGTTTGAAGATTTTCATTTCAAACTGAAGTTTTCGAAAATTTTGGTACGGGACCATCAACACGATAAGCTTGCTATTACTAAGTGTTCTGATTTCCATGTCACTGAATATATTCAAAATAATATTGAGAACATTTTGCTCCAATGTAGCTTAATTAATAATTATAGTCGATTCTTCTGTTTTGAGGAGAGGTCATCATTCAAATCGGGTAGTTTCCTACGTGCTTAATCGTCGCATTCTTTCGATGTGTATACAATACAATTATTATAAACAATTAAAGTTAAGTAATATTTTAAGGTTGTCGTAGTCATGGTAAATCGTTCAGCAAAATTTTGAATTGAATTGAATTTTTCGTTTTGAAATTTTTCAAATTTGCAATTTCTCGATATTATAATTTGTCATTTTTCGCGTCTTCAGTTTCTCAATTTTTAATTTTTCGATTTTCCCATTTTTTGTTTCCTTGGTTGTCAAGTTCTTTATCTTTATTTTTCGTTTTCCCGATTTTTTAATTTTCATTTTCTTGATTTTATTCACAATTTTTCGATTTTCATTTTCTTTATTTTTCACTGTTTCTTCCGATGCTACAAGTTTTCGTTCATTTCATTCTTCAAATTTTTCATTTTTCAATTCCTCGATTTTCCAATTCTCAAATGTTTCAATTTTGCAATTTTTGAACTTCTCAATTATTCGATTTTCCGATTTTTTTGTAATTTCCAGTATTTCGGTTCTACAAAATTTCGTTTTTTCGATTTTGTAGTTATTCGATTTGTAATGCCCGTTTGTACCGCTTAATCTTTGTTTTTTTTTTTAATATGTAGAGTTTTCTTTCAACAACAGGATAGATAAACATGTTTTCAGTTTCTTGTTGGGAAAAAAGACTTCGTATATTAAGAAAAAAATGGACAAAATATTAGCCCCGCCCACCCACCCGTTCTCAATTGTGATGAATATTTTTATTCATCGTGAGCAGAAGGGTGGAGCCTTATTGCAAAATCTTCATTTTTCTACTGATTAGGAATGAAAAACTCGTCACAATTGACATTGGGGCAGGTGGGTGGAGCTTAATCTTTGTTATTTTTTCTTTATGTACGTAGTTTTCTTTCAACAATTTTTTAATAACTTTGAATGTACTTCTAATGTTAGCCACGTTTTTCTCGAAAAAAATTGAATAAACAATAAATTAAAAACTTCAAAATTCAAAACTGGTGAAATTTCAAATCGAAAAACTGAAATATTTAAAAGTGAAAACTCTAAAAGTTCTCGTAGATTTTGTTTTTCAAAAAAAAACAAAAAAATGAAAAATTGCAAATGGAAAAATTAAAAATCGAAAACTCGAGAAACTCAATCGAAAAATTGCAAAATCTATAAATTGACAATTTCAAAAGTTGAAAACTCGAAAAATTTGAAATCGAAAAAATGAAGGAATAAAAAAATGACACATTGAAGAACTGAAAAATTCAAGTCAAAAAAGCTGTGGGCAAAAAATATGACGTAATGTTCTATGACGATTAGTTCAACGTTGACGCGAAAATTTCAGGGAAGTCTGTTGTGTGGAATTAGAGGGAAATTGTAAAGTTTTATGTAATTTATATTTTACGGCAGCCACTGAGCTCGTTTTTGGAGATTACGTCATCATTTCTTTGGAAGGAGCAAAATGAAATTTTATCATTCGCATTACTGAAATAATAAAATACAGTTTTCAGTTTATTAATGCTGTAAGGAAGTGTTGCTGTTTCGAAAACTAATTGGGAAAATTTTTAGAATGTCTAAAATAAAATCGTATTTTCGAAATGGACAGAAGATGAAAAAAGAAAATTAATTCCGGGAAGAATTTTCCAACATTCTCGACTATACCCATCTTGTGATTTGTCATTTTTTGACACTTATCATTTAATCACCGACATGTCAAACCCAAAACCAGAAGTTGATAAAACTGGATTGAGGAGCATTTGGTTGCATTCCTAGAAGTTTCTCTTAAGAATGTATGGATTTGTTAGCTTTCCGAGTAGCTAGGTCATACAACGGTGTGTGGTTTCAGGGTTCTTTTCTTCCCATAATTAGCGCAGTGCCCCGGATCGATATTTGGGTGTTCAGTTCGATTAAACATATTCGAATGATTAGTGCGAAGGGTGGCGTTTCCTATGGATGCAGACCAAACATCCAATTTGGTCCCACCATCTCCATTTCCCCTCGAATCTTGGGGTTATCGTTTCCGCGAAGGTCGTGCGATGGCGTGACTTCCGCTCCACTCCTTCTCCGCAATTAAACTTGTTAATTAACAGGCGTAGCTGAAACTTGGCGATTCCTCGCCGGCACAAAGAACCCACAAGTTTTTCCATTTAACCGGGAAAGTTTTTCTCGTGGTGATTGACGCTTTTTGAGTGGAAGCTTTCAAAATTTTAATGAGAAATTCGCGTTAGCACAATGGCTTTTTTCCACTCGCCAAGCACACGGAAGCTCGTTGTGCTTTTAACTTTTTCATTACGGGTTTTAATCGATCAAATAAGTGTTTCTTCAACAGGGACGATTCCAAGTTTTATGGTTCGAATGTCGCTTCGTGTGATGGACCGCGGCACGCGATTTTCCTCACCTGATTTCACCGTTTTTCGCAAGGACACGTTCTTCGCGCCGTCCTTCTCCTCCTTTTTGGCCGGGCTGGGCTTGCTGGGGGAGGTTTTGGCTTTGGGCTTGACTTCCACTTCCACTTCGTCGGTGTCGCTGGCGGCGGGGCTGATGAGGGACACCATGGTGACGATGTCAGTGCCGTTGACGGCGACGAATCTGCCGACATTAACGTTAAGAGAAGATCAAAATTCGACTTGGCGTTTTGAAAGTCCATAAAAGTGCGATTTTACTTTTTTGATTTTTTCGATTTCGTTGCGTGAAAAACTCAAGCAGTTGTCCTCATTCATTTTATCAAAGAAACTTTTTAATGGAATGAATTTGGCTCTAATCCAGGTGAATCGGTCGTTGAAAATGAAAACATTGGGCTAAGAATGCAATTGATTGGGCTCGGAGAAAGCGTGCAAGTGAACCAAGAATTAAAACAATTCTAACTGCGAAATATGCGAGTAAAGCAGGGTGTTACAATGCGGCTTAAATATAATGTGGTCTAAATTGTAGTCCTATAGTATTTAGTCGCAACTTATTTGGTGAACAAAAAAGACTTCGAAAACAGCTTTATTGTTTCAATAAAATTTTAATAAAAAACTTGTCTACCTTTGGAGGACTAGAACAATTCCTTATACAGTTTTTGACAAGTAGTTATTCCAAAGACAAGTAAGTAATCAGTTTAAACATTATCTAAAAGAAGAGGAAAAATATCTAGAAATGGTAGTGAAAACCGAGCCTTTCTGTTTTTATACTCTTAAGACTTAAAGTGGCGAAATCTGCGCGTGGCGCATGACGCAGCAGAAATAGATAAAATCATGCATTTTGCCCTCTACAAGATGTTAGACTAACGATTTTTGTATTTGAGAGTTTCTTCTGTCATAATAAAAAATTAACAATGATTCTTCATTTTTAAATTCAGCACTTTCGCATATCCGAGCATGATAAATTAGAGTTTTTTGGACTGCGTGTCACTTAAGCTTTGACCAAAAGCATTTTAAAAAGTGTGTTTTCATATATATTTATATTATATAGATACCGTGAAAAAAACTGACTTGAATAAAGACAAAAAATACTTATTTCAACCTATTCCAAAACAAAACGTAAGGGGTCTCCGAGATTCTTTCAAACTACTTTAAAAACAAGACAAAAGATCCTCAAGATTCTTTTAAACTACTTCAAAAATAAAACACAAAGGGTCCTCGAGATTTTTTCAAACTACTGCAAAGATAAAACACGAGGGGTGCTCGAGATTCTTTCAAATAATGTCAAAAACAAAACACAAGGGATCCCCGACATTCTTTCAAATTACTTCAAAAACAAGACAAGAGATCCACGAGATTCTTACAAACTCCTTCAAAAATCAAACACAAAGGGTCCCCGAGATTCTTTCCAATAGCTTCAAAAACAAGACCCACAGGAGGTTTCCGAACTTTGTCGAACAGTACTTCAAACACAACACACAAAAGACCCTTGATTTTTTTCAGATTACTTCAAAAACAAGACCCACAGGAGGTTTCCGAACTTTTTCGAACAGTACTTCAAACACAACACACAAAAGACCCTTGATTTTTTTTCAGATTACTTCAAAAACAACACAAGGAATCCCCGAGATTCTTTCAAACTACTTCAAAAACAAAACACAAGGGGTCCCCGGCATTCTTTCAAATTACTTCAAAAACAAGACAAGGGAACCCCAAGATTCGTACAAACTCCTTCAAAAATAAAACACAAAGGGTCCCCGACATTCTTTCAAAATTACTTCAAAAACAAGACAAGGGATCCTCGAGATTCTTTCAAACTACTTCAAAAATAAAACACAAAGGTCCTCGAGATTCTTTCAAACTACTTTAAAAAATAAAACACGAGGGGTGCTCGAGATTCTTTCAAATAATGTCAAAAACAAAACACAAGGGGTCTCCGGCATTCTTTCAAATTACTTCAAAAACAAGACAAGGGAACCCCGAGATTCTTACAAACTCCTTCAAAAATAAAACACAAAGGGTCCTCGAGATTCTTTCAAACTACTTCAAAAACAAAACACAAGCGGTCCCCGGCATTCTTTCAAATTACTTCAAAAACAAGACAAGAGAACCCCGAGATTCTTACAAACTACTTCAAAAATAAAACGCAAAGGGTCCTCGAGATTCTTTCAAACTACTTCAAAAATAAAACACGAGGGGTGCTCGAGATTCTTTCACATAATGTCAAAAACAAAACACAAGGAATCCCCGACATTCTTTCAAAATTACTTCAAAAACAAGACAGGGGATCCTCGAGATTCTTACAAACTCCTTCAAAAATAAAACACAAAGGGTCCTCGAGATTCTTTCAAACTACTTTGAAAACAAAACACAAAGGGTCCCCGAGATTCTTTCCAATAGCTTCTAAAACAAGATCCAACAGGAGGTCTCTGAGCTTCTTTCGAACAGTACTTCAAACACAAAACACAAAAGACCCCTGAATTTTTTTCAAATTACTTCAAAAACCCCCGAGATTCTTTCAAACTACTCCAAAAATAAAACTTTCAAATTGAATCTATTCGACAGTAAACAAATCTAAGGGATAAATCGATTCGAACAATTTTTATCCAAACTATCCAAGTGGAATTTGGACTTTGAAATGGGTGTTTTGTATCCGTAAGTCATTCATAATTCATAAGGGACGATGGTGTCATTTACGGGATATTTGACCATTACCAATTGTGAGTCTAGTGATGTGGAGCCTTTTAACCACTATTTTTCGAAACTTTTCGAAATTTTCATTTCCCAGTAAAATAAATCCTGTCAAAATTGGTCAAAAGTCTCCTAAGTGGGGGAATTTAGACGGTTTTTTGGAATTAAAAAAAAAATGACAACAAAAATGAGAATTGACAGAAAAACAAAACATTGTTCCAAACTTATTTAGAGAACTGCCCTCGCTCTTGAAGTACAGTCCAACAAATTCCGCTGCTTCGAAAAATTGTAAAATTTGATTTTTTAGAAATTTTATTGTTTATATTAAGTAGTAATAAGTGTCTGTAAGTTAAAAAATTATGGGGAATACCAGTCATAGTAAATTAAAAAAATGCTGCGTAAGATAATCGAGCAACTGCAAGCGCTATTAATATCAAAATTTGTTACTCAATTCTGATTTTTTTGCGAAAATCTGAATGTCAAAGGAAAAAACTCAGACGGATTTCAATAACTGGTTCATAGTTTTGAGGTGACGTCCTCGAAGTGTTAGTGGGGATGATTAAACAAATTTTGATTGGCGTTTTACAGTCTACATGATATTCGTACCCCACATAAAATTTAACAATAATAATAATCAGTCCAGGAATTTCGTAGGGTATCTGTGTAATAAAAACGACAAACAGACAAACGACAGACAGACAGACGAAAATGGAAGACCTATTTTTTCGTACTCTAGGGGTCATGAAACGTCTAGTCTGCCGATAGACCATATTACAATACTTTCCAAGCTTACATTCGAGAAGTATATAAAAAGTCACAACAAATCTTTTGTTTTTTTTTTTCAGGTGATATAAAGTAACCATGAAAATTTTGGAATCTTTGATAACTCGGTGCACGATAACAGTATAGCGTTTATTCCCGACAACCCCGAAAATACAAAAAATTGTTGACGCGTTTCGCCAACCACATTGGCATCATGTAGACAAGACTAATTGAAGTTTAATCTTTCATCAAATTCTTGATGAAAATGATACAATAGTAGGCCATGAAATTTATTTTTAAAAGAATGAAGTTGGTATCGCCGTTATTTGATAGTTAATTGACCGTAACTGTCAAACCGAACGCGTTGCCAAAATAATTATTTTAAAAATAAATTTCTTGGCCTACCAAACGATTTTTTTTCAATATGTTTTGCTTTCAAAGTTATATATTCGAAATTATTTTCTAGATCCAATTTCGTTACTTCAACATGTAATGAGGGAGATTTCTGGCTGCAGAAATTGTAGTAAAGGCAGATTAAAACTTTCTGTAGGTATTCTTTTCCGAAAAATTGAATTTTAATGATTAAGCCACATCTACGTCCTCTAGTAGGCCATGAAATTTATTTTTAACATAATGATCAACGCCCTCCTTATTCAGTTTGACAGTTGCAGTCCAACAACTGTTAAATAAAGTGTCAAATTGCTGCAGTGTCAACAATATTATTTTAAGATTAAATTTCATGGCCTACTAGAGGACTTTTTTCTTCGATCATGTGGTATCAGTTTTCAATACACACTTTACTGTAGGTTGTTTAACAAAAAACTTCACAGCCCGCTACGAATTTTTTTCTTTTAAAATTTTTAAAACTCTTCTATCTTCAGCAAATTTTAGTTTTTTCGGTTATTATGACTAGAAATTTATGGGTAGAAAATTATTCCATAAAATTCATGCATGGCTTCATCCGAAACAAATTAAACCATATGATCGAAAAAAGTCGTCTGGTCAGCCATGAAATTATTTAGAAAAAAATGTGTCGGCAGAATCTGTGCCGGCATCGGTTGATTTTGAGGTTATATGAGGTTATTAAAATTCACAAAAAATTTCTGTGCATCGTATTCACCGTTTTCTTGCGTGACTCAATTTCGGTAATAACTTTAAATAATAAAAATTTTATATACTGTTTCAAGCATTTTTTAGTACACTGACAATACAAATGTTAAACTGACTTCAATGGTATTCGACAGTGCTGCCGTCAGTTAGGAAAAAATAATTCCACGGCTGACTAGACGACATTTTTTCATCCATATGGTATAAATAAGTTATCATCGTGTTGTTCTACGCTTTGTAGGGTATTTTTGGCTGAAAACTAAAGACCTGTGACTACTCAAAATAATAATCCAGTATTCGTTTCACTTTTGTTTTTTTATTTGCTTATTTTTAAAAAACAATGGGTTCTTTAACTACCGAATTTTTTATATCATACTTGTGGCACGTGTAAAAAACAAAGTCGACTTGGAATACTCTGCATAATATTTATTGCAGTTTGAATGACATGCTATGTATTTTTATTTGGAGCAAATTGGTGCGTGCGTTTTTCTCATTTTTAGTATCGAATTAGTTCTTCAGTGACATTAATTTTACACAACTAAAGCATCTCCCACTTACCTGTTCAACTCTTTTTTACTTTTAGGATTCTCCTTATTACTAAGACTGTCATCGTCTTCGCTCGTCGGCGTCTTCGGCCCTCGGCCCTTCCCCGACTTGATCTTCCTCTTCGTAGCCAAAAACTTCGGCTTGACTTGCTCCGGCTTCGTGGGCGCCGATAACGACCTCACTAACGGCGGCCTTATTGCCCCTTCTTTAATCACGGAGTTGAAAGCTGTGTTATTACGCCTCTGAAATCTTTCGCGTTTGGCAGCAGCCGTGGCAGGTCTAATTATCACATTTTTTATTGCTTTGGGGTCTTGTTTTTCGTAACTGCGATCGCTAGAAGGAGGAGTACTTACATCTTCAAGAATCTGCGGCGGCTCCTTCTCCACAATGGGTATCACCACAACGGCGTTGGATTTCGTCGGAGTGTAGGCCATCTCCTTGCTCTTCCTTATCTGGAAGACGTTCTTCATCGTGTTCTCCAAGGGGGTTAGCAGCGGCTGCATGATTTTCGGCGACTCCTTCGGGAGTATTTCCGGTTCGTGGGCTTCGTAGATGTCTTCTTCGGTGCTGGTGTTGTGAGCTAGGAAGATGTTGAGGTTAGGTTTCTCCTGCTCGCGGTCTTTGAGGGCCTGCCTGAGCCTCTCGGCCAGTTCTTGTTTGGAGTAGAGGATCGACTCTTTCTCCAAAGAGCTGTGTCTGCTCAATTTTGGCGGCTTTTTCACCTCCTTGATGCACTTCTTGGCTATGACGCCTTCTTCCTTCGGGGATGCGATGCTCTCGTCGGCCCATGCTATCCGGATAGGATGCGGTCGGTCGCGGGTTTTCGCTCCGATTTTCTCCTTCGCGTCGCAGAAGTCTTCGGAAAATTGCTTCCTGAGGGACTTTCGCCGCTGGTCAATCGTGGGACTGTCGCAGTTCAGCGAGAACTGCCGGAGCGTTGAGAGTTTTCGCATGTTTGCCATTGTGCTAACAATAGTCGATTCGCATCTTGGAGCGGTTCACGGACCTGCACCGGAAACGGGTTGTTTACCCTTGGCTCGGAAAACTTTGACTGAAACGTGCTTTACATGCTTTCGTTTCAGTCGGTCATTATCGATTGCGACTTTCGCTTTGTCGCTGTCACTTCTTTGTCAAGTCGCGAGTTGTTTTTTCGGTTTTTAAGGGCATGCGACCCTTTTTTTGCCGGGTCGATGATCTTGGAAGGGCTTGTTTGGTTGCTATGGCTACTTTTTCTAGGAATGTGAGAATGAGAGTGACGTTTTTTGCAGGACATGAACACCGACGATTACAAGAAGTACAACATTTTGGAAAATATTTTTCAAAAGATAAATCAGAAGTATGTGGCCCTTCCAAATGACGAGACCAAACGGAATAATAAATTATTGCAGGTTGGCAACGTGAATAGAATTTAAATAGTCTTTTTTTACTCACTTTTAAAAATTGCGTAGGTCATTGATCGTATCATCCAAACGTTGCAAAACAAGAGTACACTGTTCACCAATTTGTATCAAAATAAATTTTATGGAGGGAGCTTTTACGACGGTTTGAAAGTCGGTAAACCCTCAGAGTATGACTTGGATTGCCTATTGTGTCTTCCAAAAATCGTGGAGCCCACCGTTAAGGTCAGTGACAAACCTGGCTACGTTCACATCGTCCTCAACAATATGGAAGCCCTCAGGAAAAGCGAAATAGAAGGACCAAAATATGTGTATGTGAAGACCGTGGATAACTTACAAGTATTTATGTCTTATTTACTTTTCAGTGGTTTGGACAATTTGTTGGTTGGAAATCGCTTATCAACGCAAAAAGTTAGATCATGGATGGAAAGTTTAATGACTTCGGCCGTCATTGGAAACAGCACAATGGAAATAAAAATGGATGATTCGGATTCCAAATGCGTCGTCAAAGTAGGTAGTACAGTTTTCATAAAATTAGTGAATTAATAAGTTGAAGTAGTACAAGGTGTTCAAAAGTGGACCAGCACTAACTCTCAAGTTGGAAGGCAACCTGAATGGCCAGGACTTTAAAATAGATATAGATTTAGTTCCGTGTTTTACCTTTTTTGATGATCACTGGCCAGGAAATGAATATCGGCCCAACCCATCACAAAAAAAGGTAAAATTTAATAAAAACACGATAAAGTACTACATTTTCACTTTACTTAACCCTAGAACACATTTTTTGTCGTACCAAAAAGTCCCAGTGAAGATGCGCCCCTGCACTGGAGGTTGAGCTTCCAGGAGCAGGAGAGGGAACTCCTCAGTGGCTACGCAGTCATGAAGCCTACGATTCGCCTAATCAAAGTAATAAAACACGTTTTCACTTACAATGCTATTAAACATTGTCTCCTTGTTTTAGAAATTGCGAGACAGACATGAACACAAAATCGCAAGTTACTACATCAAGACTGTTTTCTTGTGGGAGTTAGAAATGCTGGATAAAAATTTCTGGAATAAGCCACTCAGCTTTGTGTTCGTAACGGTATGTTTTTCGCTCTCACGTTGCTTGTCGTCACGTAATTTTGTCATAGATGCTGAGAAAATACGCAGAATATATTGAGAGAAAAAACATACCCTATTATTGGAACGACTCCAATAATCTCCTTGGGGACTTAAATGAGATAACGGCCTCTTGTATTGCCAACAAGTTAAAAAACATCGTCGACCATATTGACAAAATTTGCAATTCAAAATTGGGTTTCTACGACGTGGTCACCTATTTCCGTAAGTTCTAAACACCTTTAATACCTAAAATTCCAACCTTAATCTTTTAGTAAGATCTGAAGAAGTCAACATGGACACTTTTAAAGCGGAAGTACCTCTTCAAAAAAAATTAATGAAACAGATGGAGGCCGCAAAACTACTAGAATCCCCCCCTCAAGCTCAAACTCCTCAACTAACTGCGAAACCTCAAGAGCATGGTTTGCACTTTCCTTTCAATAGTTTCAAATTTTCAGAGATTTGTTTTAGTTTTACCGACTTCCGCGTCTGCAACGTCGTCTAGATCGTCCAGTTTTGAAGACATTTCCAAAGCCATGGTATCCGAACTTGCGAAACCAAGTTTTTCGCAAGATTGTTCGAAAATGTTGGTCAGAGTGGAAGCCCAATTGATTATGGTGGCTTCAGAACAAAAACGAATTTTTGGATTGATGGAGACGATCCTTGATAAAGTTGAACGATGCGAGAGTCAGCTTCAAGAATTGAAGACTGAAGTTAATAAGAAAGCAATCGAAGATATAGTGCGTATGCACACACTGGAAAACAAGATTACAGAGATGGGGAAAAAAATAGACAATGCAAAGAACGAAGCGCCCTCTGTGGATGATCTTTTGGGTTTAACCCATCGACTGACTAGTTCGTTGAATTTCCAACCGTGAACTATATGTTATTTATAATTTTACAATGTGCTTTATTAAAATTTACTATTAAAATTGGTTTTTAGATTATTTTGTGTCTTAAACTTGGTTACCAGGATGTAAAAGCACAAGTAAACCGCAAACGGCTGGTAAGGTCGTGAAGACTCCGTTTTGTGTCGCTGTAGAGTTTTCGGGGTAAACAACCCATGGGTCGGGAACTGCCTGTGGCGCATCCTTCCAATAATATGTGGGAACAGGCGCAAGTTTGCCACATAAAGATGTATACTGTTTGTTACATTCGGGATCATCGAGTTCCCAGAAATACGGCGAAGGACATTCACTGCACCCTGGACCCTTACTGTAAAGCTGGACGCCTGGGCGATAAGCAGCCACTGATCCTTCCCAACTTGCCAAAAGGCAATAAATACGCATCCTTCGACCCACACTTTGTCCAGGTTCCACGGATCTTGCACACCCGATTTTAAAATGTTTGCTGAATATTAACTGGAAACAAAACTGTAGCTCGTTCTCCAGGTACGGATCCTGGCCTGTTTTATCCATTTGTTCTGGGTTTAATGTTTGGAGACAATCGTCAAGCCTAAAAAAATTAAATAGTATTTGCAACTAAAAGTAGCATGACAAACTTCTGGTCGAGAAAAGCCATAGCGTCAGCAATATTGTTTATCATCCAACTTTTATCCTCCGGCATAAGCATCACAGGAAAGTTACCTAATGCTTCGTGGTTTTTGTTTCTGGTACATAGATCCATACCAGCCGACTGAGCTCTTTTCAAAATACATGCAGCGGAATATTCCAGTCCTACGTCATAATTTAGCACCATCATATCTGCACCGGCGGGCATGTCTGTTGAACCAGAAGCTATTTTATTTCTGAACTGGTTCAGTTTGTCTAGAATTGCTTCACGGAACCCGAAAGTTGAATTAAGAACTTTTAGGCCAAGTCGTGGTGTGACTTTTTCACATCCGCAAGCTACATTTACTTTAAATTTAGTTTTGGTTTCATAACACCTTAGGTCACAGTAGTTATGCTCTCTCAAGTTGAAAAACTCTTCTTTAGTATCATAAGAAGTTATACATAATGGCGCAGTCAAAAAAATTAGCAAGTTCAACATGAATATGACTTATGCTGTCAGTTCATTACATGTTCATTAATTATTTGACAATATGCTCACGATCACGATCATTCAGTAGCTGCTATGGTAATTTGTTTCATCTTCAAAGTGTGGTCTGCTAAACAGTAAGTGTGGTTGGAGGATCAATTGCTCTTTGATTTTATACTGGGTGTCCCCTAGAAGTACACACGTTCACACGTTATTATTGGGTTACTCGCCCTTTCTTAGACCTAGCCTTAAGTTTTAACACGTGTTTATACTGCACTCACTAAACAAGAAATATCCGCTAGAAACAAGAAGTGAGGGCTCTTTCTGAATTCCGGCTGCCTCATTATCAACTCTTGATCACTACTGTGGGGGCTGGCAAGTCCCACAAAATTGTATAGTATTTGTATATAATCTGTATTTAATTATTTCCAACCAGTATCCGAAACTTTCTCTTCGTCCACCTGCATGTCGTAAAACCTATCCTTTGTTCACCCTTCTCAGTAATACTTATCCTTTCCCAGATTTCGAATACCTTCCAAGAACCCTTTAGACACTACTGTATTCACCGCTTTCTACCGACCTTTCTTTTCATTTCAATTTCACAAACTCTAAGACTCTTCCTTCATCTGCCGTACCGACAACATCAAAATAAATACGGCAAAACGCAAGTACTGTTTCAATCACCTGATCACCCCACACTACCAACGTAAACGATAACATTCACTAATTCCCTAGATGCTCTACAATGTACATAGGTGATTGCTTAGGTTATTGAATGATTTTTCTTAGTTTCAATTTTTCAAACGCAGTTGCCAGAAGCTACAGCCAAAGTACTCAGTGGATTAAAAATTTGAACATTTGACTGATCCAAAAGTGAAAAAGTTCGTAAGTTCCTCCTTAATTTTAAGCGCACGATTTCTGCGGAAAACGTAGGAAATGCCACTGCCATGAGAAACCAGAGGACGCTTGCTAATCCCTAGTTTCACGTGAACCAATGTTGTTCCAGCAAATTTTCAAAAATTTTGGTTTTTACAACAACTCAGAATATCATCACCGTTGTTACTCAATCTAGTAAGCAACTTATTTTCAATTTACTGACATGAGAGTACACGTCAAAAATGATATTTGCTCTTCTGATCTTTTCGTGCCTGAATATCTATGGCGCCGCAAGTTTTGATCCTTCAAGAATTAACTATTGCGAGGGAAGATGTCCAACTGGAAAACATGTAGCCTGCAACTGCGGCAGACTTCAACCACCTCGAAAATTATTTAGCGACAACGTAGACGCTTTCCGAAAAGAAATTGTTCACAATCACAACTACTGGAGGAACTATGTAGCATCTGGAAAAGCGCATAAACTAAATTCAGCTGTTAAACCGGCGTCTGATATGAGGGTCATGAATTATGATTTAGAACTGGAGTATATTGCTACGTGTTACGCTGCTAAATTCATTGAAGGCCATGATGGTTGCAGAAAGAAGGCAAATGGGTATGAGATCGGTCAAAACTTATATGGAAGTACAAACCAAAGTGTAACTATAAAAGAAATACTACGGGACTGGTGAGTAGCTGTCTTCATTTTGTTTAGTTATCTTTGAAACGCGGTTAACTGTTGTTTTAGGTTTCGCGAAATGAAGAATATTGAGTCCGAAACACAACTCCAATTTTTTACGTCTGTAGTGGTAAGTTGTAGTCGAAATCGAACTATTAGTCAAAATATCTGTTTCAGACCAGTAAAGGCTTTATTGGTCACTTTACTCAAATGGTTCACGCCAAAAGCGATATTGTAGGATGTGCCAGAGTCTGGAACTCCAAGGCTGCCAACAAAGCTTGGTCGTATACACTTATTTGTAATTATGGATCTGCTTTCGGAAATGGAACGCAAGTCAGAAAGAGACCCATTTATAAAACCGGACGTGCATGTAGTAGTTGTCCTAATATCAGACGGCGGAACAAATGTGGAAGTAAAAGATACCCTGCCTTGTGTGGCAAGGTCTTAATTCCTCCTGCTAGTCCTGCTATTGGTGCATCTCTCAGTAGTTACAAAAATCCAGGGCGTCTTCGTGTTAGACGTGATTACGCACATCGTACACGTGGAGCTAAAATTCAAAGGGCAGCCCAACGTGACCCTGATGATGATCCTGACGATTCTGAACCTAAGAACCTTGCCGAACCTGGGACCCTTGACGAACCTGAGCATCCTGACGAACCTGAGAGCCTTCAGATTCCTGACGCGCCTGACGCTCCTGACGATTCTAACGTTGCTGATCATTCTGCTGGTCCTGACGATTCTGATATTCCTATTCCTGACACTCCTGAGGGATCTGAGAGTCTTTCCATTCCTGAGGCTTCTGAGGAATCTGAGACTTCTTCCACGGCTAGCGTTCCTGATGATTCTGGCGACTATGTTGACAATTCTGAGAGTCCTCCCAATCCTGATGCCCCTGAGGATTCTTTCCACGCCCGAGCTCTTCCCACTAGTGACGATTCTGATGGTGATGATTCTGTCGGTGTCGACGATTCTGAGAGGCTTCTCAGTCCTGACACTAGTGACGATGATGAAAGTTTTTCCGTTCCTGACGATGTTGACGTTTCTGAGAAGCGTGGTAATGGTAACGCTAATGACAATTGTGTTACTACTACTACCCCTGCTGTCGAGTGTACGACTCTTCCAGGTCCTAAGCGTCTCGCCAATAAGACCAAATCTAACAATCCTGGCAACGATAGTGATAAATTTCTTGGTGGTGCTCCACGTGAAACCCAAACAGCCTCATGTTTTTCAGGAACATATCACATTCGGAAAAATTCATTTGTATTAGTTGTTAGTCTTCATATCTCGCTTCTTTTTTACTAATTTGTTAGAAATAGAAGGAAATGTGCATGAAGACGCTGGACAGATACAGGAATTAATATATATACATATCTTTAAAAAACCAAGTGTCTGCGTTATTTCCCAACCCACTCCATATGTCAAATGTCATAATCACAGTATGATAAAGTCGTCAAATTTTATATGTATTTTAGGAATATCGTGTAGATGGTCAAGATTGGTTAACAAACCAATAATTTGATGATAATACTAATACATTTGTGGTTTATGAATCCGCCTTTTTTGGCAAAAAAACCAAAAGTGTATGAAAACACTTCACAGTTTAACTTGGTAGAGTTGTCATGTGCTCAAAAAAATCAGTAAATGACGATTTTATTTTATTGATGAAATCAAAAATGATTCATCCAGTTTTTTTGAAAATTTGGGACTATAGGGCTATTAGAAACTGGCTTTTAGCTTTTCAATTGAAATTAAGGCACGAAGGAAATTCTGTCTAAATGACCCCAGGCCATTTTTCTGTTGGGAAATCGTAGCTAATGAGAAAATCAGCGCTAATCATTTTTAACTGACTGCAATTCTTCAAATCGTGAAAGAATTCAGTACACCATTTGAAGAAAAGTATTTCCAAAAACTTCAAATCAGGACAATTTGTTTAATAAAATTAAAAATTACAAAAATCACATTACAGAACATATACATATTATATATGATTTTACTTTTTTCTTCTTCTTAATATACACAACCTTCACCGACAAGGACTGAAAACATGTTTGAAATGGTAAATTTTATCCCCCACACTTCTCTACAAATTTACCATTTTAAACAAGCTTTCAGTTTCTTGTCGTCATTAGAAAACTACGCACATATAAGAAAAAAAATTTAAATACAAATCCCTCCCACCCACCCTTATCTCAATTGTGATGAATTTTCTTATTCGTCGTTAACCGAAGGGCGGAGCTTAATTTAGGTTTTCCTTTTTACTTAAAACTTTTCTTTGAAGAACACGCTTACTTAAGAACGTGTTTCAAATGGTAAATTCTCGTAGAAAAATAAGGATTTTGCAATTAAGCTCCGCCTCCTTGCTGACAACGAATAAAGAAAAATCGTTACAACTGAGACAGGGTGGATGGACGGGGCTTATGTTTTTACTTTTTTCTTCATCTTAATATACACAACCTTCACCGACGAAAACTGAAAAGATGTTTGAAATGGTAAAGTTTAACTCCCACACTTCTCTACAAATTTACCATTTTAAACAAGTTTTCAGTGTCTTCTCGTCAATAGAAAACTACGCACATATAAGAAAAAAAGATTAAAATACAAACCCCGCCCACTCGCCCTCGTTTCAATTGTGATGAATTTTCTTATTCGTCGTGAGCCGAAGGGCGGAGCTTAATTTAGGTTTTCCTTTTTACTTAAAACTTTTCTTTGAACAACACGCTTACTTAAGAACGTGTTTCAAATGGTAAATTCTCGTAGAAAAATAAGTATTTTGCAATTAAGCTCCGCCTCCTTGCTGACAACGAATAAAGAAAAATCGTTACAACTGAGACAGGGTGGATGGGCGGGGCTTATGTTTTTACTTTTTTCTTCATCTTAATATACACAACCTTCACCGACGAAAACTGAAAAGATGTTTGAAATGGTAAAGTTTAACTCCCACACTTCTCTACAAATTTACCATTTTAAACAAGCTTTTAGTGTCTTGTCGTCAATAGAAAACTGCGCACATATAAGAAAAAAAGATTAAAATACAAACCCCGCCCACCCGCCCTCGTTTCAATTGTGATGAATTTTCTTATTCGTCGTGAGCCGAAGGGCGGAGCTTAATTTAGGTTTTCCTTTTTACTTAAAACTTTTCTTTGAACAACACGCTTACTTAAGAACGTGTTTCAAATGGTAAATTCTCGTAGAAAAATAAGTATTTTGCAATTAAGCTCCGCCTCCTTGCTGACAACGAATAAAGAAAAATCGTTACAACTGAGACAGGGTGGATGGGCGGGGCTTATGTTTTTACTTTTTTCTTCATCTTAATATACACAACCTTCACCGACGAAAACTGAAAAGATGTTTGAAATGGTAAAGTTTAACTCCCACACTTCTCTACAAATTTACCATTTTAAACAAGCTTTTAGTGTCTTGTCGTCAATAGAAAACTGCGCACATATAAGAAAAAAAGATTAAAATACAAACCCCGCCCACCCGCCCTCGTTTCAATTGTGATGAATTTTCTTATTCGCCGTGAGCCGAAGGGCGGAGCTTAATTTAGGTTTTCCTTTTTACTTAAAACTTTTCTTTGAACAACACGCTTACTTAAGAACGTGTTTCAAATGGTAAGTTGTCGTAGAAAAATAGGGATTTTGCAATTAAGCTCCGCCTGTTTGCTGACCACGAATAAAGAAAAATCGTCACAACTGAGACAGGGCGGGTGGGCGGGGCGTATGATTTGATTTTTTTCTTGTTCTTAATATACATACTCTTCACATCAAAAGAGTGAAAACATATTTGAAATGGTAAATTTACCAATTTAAACAAGTTTTCAGTTTCTTGTCGTCAATAGAAAACTACGCACATATAAGGAAAAAAGGCAAAAAAAAGAAGTAGATGTTTAACCATCCAGCTATGAGAAGAGAAAGGTTGGAACTTCAATATTTCAACACAAGTTAGAACGTCAAATTGTATTCATTTCATCGGTTAAAAGTCACACTTCAAGACTTTTGCTTCGTCGAGGTCTCACCATCATTGTCATCCTATTCAGACTATAATCGCTGTCCCTGAACGTTCCCCAGTACATAATTTTCCACCTAATCCCTGAATCTCTAGCCTTCTTCAAATACATCGCCGTGGGGTTACTTCGGGTACACTCGTTATACCACCAAGCTCCATCTGCAATAACCTTCCCCTTCAGAGCTTACGTTTATCGATTGTACAGTTACTATTATTTCGCATATCGTGGTCCTTATCTTGCGTGGTAAACTTCATCCCAGAATACCAATACATGGAATCGCCAGCATCTTCACTATACCCACTCACAGCTTTTAAAACGTACCCTTCGTTTTCCGAACCCACAACGAAAACCTTATAGTGAGCATACGCAATCTTGTTGCCCCAGTCAGCCATTTTCACCAACATTTCGTAATCCCCTGAAGCTAAAACACAAAATACAGCAGGTGGATTTATTGGTGTTAAGGTAGTACCAGTGATCTGATGCAAGTACTCCAATCCCAACCAGTGCTCCCCCACTAGGCTACCGAACCCAATTTTCTATTCGTTCCACTTCAAATAATAGTCCCTAGAACCATCAAACTTGTGCAAGAAGTACGTCCACCCTCCTCCTCTAGTGTCCATGTCGCAGAAGACAGCAAAGGGCTGCGGCCATATAATAGATTTATATTTTTTGGATTTGCATATACAGGGCGACTTAAAAAAATAATGAATCAGTGAATTTATTATTGATCAAATTAAGAACGAGCCACCCCATTTTCTCGAAAATGTGAGAATATGCCCGTCTTTATAACAATAAAAAATTGATAAGTTAAGAATGATAATAACAACATTTAGAATATTTTATTCAATTGAGGTTTATTAATAATTTTAGTGATCTGTTTCGAGGTGATTAACTCATCCAAATTAAACAAATATCTACGTGACATTCTTCCGATGTATAAACATAAACATTGTAAATACTACGCATATTGCTCAGATACCATTGTTCCCTTTGGTAATATACTGAAAATATATATTTTGCTTCTGAGGCTGGACCATCAGGCCATCTGGCCTAAATGTAACGGAAAATAAAATTTATTTGCTTTTAATTTGGTTATACAAAAATACGATTTCGCCTTCGACTGACCGTTTGTTGACACATTTGATCTCGAGATTGTGCAAAATGCAACATTGGCCACTTCCGGGCGTTCCCATAATTTATGACTTGCAGCCGGGCAACCACCTGCACAAAGAGCTGTCGCCTGAGTTTTGTTTGCACTATCCTTTCTCATTCTTATTTTGCTTTTTTATCGTTCAATAAAGTATTCCGCACACTTTCGATTTGCTTATACAGGGTGATGCAAAAAAAAAATTAATGACTCAAGTTATTTTATTGATTAAATCAAGAACTGAAAAACCGAATGCCTTGAAATCTTGCAAACTTATTTGAAATATACGCGTAGCATGCTTCTTTACATTTACTTTAGCATTACATATTCACATATGTTTATTCCAAATTATATAATATTATAACAAATATAAAATCCGCAAAATCAAATTTTATATAATTTTTCGAAAATGCTGGATATGTTTTCATTGTACTTCAGGAGCCTGGGAAGTTCTGTCGAAACAACTTTTGACCGATTTTTAAAGAAGTAAAGAAGTGCGTTTCCAGTTCATGCGCTAGGAGCGTGCTAGAACAGCTCGAATGTACGTTGTTAGGGATTTCCCCGAAAAATATATCGAGTGCAATAATAACGATGATGAAACCACAGAGCACTTTTATCTTAATGGATGCCTCAAATAATATTTGTATTGTTTTGTTATTTTTAACGTTTACGCTCAACAAACTTATTGATTAATCAAAGTCGGCGTCACCTGTGATAACGATCCAGGTACTTAATCACTCTTATATTTTATTAAAATAATGAATTCCTTAATATTTTATTAAAAACTGCTGAAACGAATATCTGACATATTTTTAATTCTTGATTTTGTAGTTGGTGACCTTACAATAATCGCCTCAGGTTATTCCAAATTGTGTTTAAAGCAAAAAAAATCTCTTTAGTCGAAAAATGGCATTTCTGATGCAGTTTTTCTCTCCTCATGATATTTTCAAGCAACATAAGCGACTTATCGCATAAAACAGTGCACCAAACCGACCTTGAACGAGGTCATTATCAAACCGCCTTTATAAATAGCAGCAGAAACTACTAACGCAGTTAATCAGCCAGTGGACACTGTGTGTAATTGTAGCGAATAAATCCAAACGCGATTTTGATCCTTATTATTTCCAAACATAATCAGTGTATTTATCTAAAACACTCGACTCCTTTTAGTCACAACCGGTATATAAAGAGTGAAACTGCTCCAGATTTCATTATTTTAAGAAAGTTATCCACAACGATCGACATCCTTATATTGTGTAACATTGTGCCAAACAATGTCCAAAGCAAGACTTAAAAATGAGGAAGATTATCGTGAGTATGTCGGGATAGAGCCTGGACCACAATACGCCAATCAGCAATACATTTCCATCGATAAAGATGATATGGAAACGAAGAAATTCTACGTTGAGCGTGTAAGTGTCAAAATATGACTAATAATAACTCAGATAACTCAATCCACGATTTAGATTATCCGTTTCCTTATCCAACTGATGAAAGCCGAATCTCCGGCTTTTAAGCGCTTGTATGTCGATCTCTTTGGCGGTGGTAGCGGCTACGAAGGATTAAAAATCACCAAACCTGACGAATTTGATATTGATATTCTCATGCGAATTCCTGAACCTGCTGCGCCTGTTCTACTGGAAAATAATATTCCTGGATACGTGAACTTGAAACTAGAACACTTTCAGAGGCTTCAGCACAAGTACCCGGAAGTGTACGAGTGAGTGAAACCCCCAATCGTGTTTTATTATTAAATTATCAAATGTTGTCTAGGGTGATGCAAGATTTTGTCGACGACAATAATTACTTGTTGACTAAAGAAATGAAGAGCTCGTTCATGCAAAGTATATTTGATAGGGTCATGAACACCATTTCCAACAACACAATCCAAGTTTTGGGTTCAGATTTCAGAGTAAGTTGATGATCGTTAAAAATTTTGACGTAAGTGTGATATTTTAATTAGATATCGCGTGTGCAAAATTTGGGACCAGCTTTTACGTTGACTATTGAAGGCCTAAATGAACTGAAGATTTCTGTAGATCTTGTGCCTTGTATTTTGTTGGACGGGAGTCAATGGCCTGGTGAAGGGTTCGAGCCGAATCCATATACATCACCAAGTGTTAGTAGATTATTTTTGTCTAAAATTATCATCTATTGCCACATTCTAGGACTTCTTTATAGTTCCGAAGAGTCCTAGACGGGACGTGCCACACATTGACCGTTACTGGAGATTGTCGTTCCAGAAACAAGAAAGGGAAATTATTTTTGACAGGCAGTGGCTTAAGCCAACGATAAGAGTCTTGAAGGTACTTAAGTTTGTATTTTGTAATGTGTATATATCTCAGTTTTTATATTTCAGCGAATTCGTGACAATTTTCAACATCGAATTTCGAGTTATGCCATCAAAACTATGTTTTTTAGAGAACTGAAGATAGGCAATCCCACTCTGGATGACGACACTCCCGCACTCTGGTCACTACCATTTAGTTATTGCGTTGTGCACGTACGTCACATGTTGTTAACTGTGGTTGAAATTTACCGTCCCATTGTAGATGCTCGAGGTCTACGCAACTTGTCTACACAATTCCAAAATTCCCTACTTCTGGAACAAGAAAATGGACCTTTTGGACGACTTAACCCCCGGACAAAAAACACAGTACAAAAACGACATCGAGAACATGCTCGACGACATTAAAGCAAACCCCGATTTTGACACAATTCTTAGCTACCTAGACTAAACCGCTGTGAAAAATGGATGGAAAAATTTTGGCGCCGGAGTGTCAATTTTTTCATTTTTGGAACTTCGCCAAGTCGCTATTTTCAAAATCTTGTGGCGTCGTGTGTTTTTCGTTTCGGAGCTTTGGGTTTCTTTCCGAGGGGAACTTTGTAATTTTCGGCCACGTTTGATAAATGTCAAACGTGGCCGACAAGATCGAAGTTGTTTTCGGAAAAAGAACCCAAATTTCCGAAACGAAAATCTCGTGTAACGCCACAACTGCTTGAAACTGGCGACGCGGTGACGTTTGTGGAATGAAAAGAATGGTGTTTTGGCGCAAAAATTTTTTGATCTAGGGTGTGTGTGTGATGGATGAAAATGATTTCGCAACAAGCGGCACCTTTGTAGGGGTTTAAACGTCAACAGGGTGACTTTTTAAAAATTACGAGTAAGCCGGAACGCGACTCATTTTAAAGTAATCACCCTGTAAATATTCAAAGTCCTAAAAAGGTGGCGTGTGTTTGGAAAATGTTTTAATCTAGTCATTTTTGTATTTTTTCATAAAAAAAATTTAATAAAGATTTTTTATGAAACTGTTTTTTTTTATTTTATGTACGTATTACAAGCGTATACAATCAAATAGACTTATATAATGGACCATGTACAATTTTTGCTAGCTATTTTTATATCCCCGTAGTTGGTAATACTTGACGAATTTGTAATAAAATTATGTTCACTATGTTCTTAGGGGATTTTAGTTACATTAGTAATTTTAGTACACGTGTTTTCAAGTGGTCTGTGCAACAATTGTCCCCACTCTCCTCTAATAGACTTCCCGAAAGTTGTCCGATGAACCACGAGCACTAACGACCTCAAGTCACGGTTTTCCCCCATTTTCTTCGCGTCTGAATAATTGCATCTTCATCATAAAACTACCAGTGTTAACCAACCCGTGCCAACATGAAAGACAAATCCAAAGTAATCGCACCCCGAAAATACATCCAAATGGAATTGGCTTTAGCTGAAGCAAGCAAAAAGTGCATTGTTTCGTGTGACAGGGTTGCCATCCACGGAACTAAACTCATAGTTGAGAAGGTACCAACGTTTTTATTATTTTTGGTTATTCTAATCAAAGTATATTTTCAGATCATCCGACGAATTGTTTCAGCTATGAAAACGCAGTCTTCCATTTTTGCCTCCATGTACGTTAAAAACTTCAATGGTGGCAGCATTTACGAAAAAACCAAAATAGGAAAACCTGACGAGTTCGATATTGACATTTTGTTGAAAATACCGGAAATTATGGGTGCGGTGTTGAAAGAAGGATACGCCCCCGGATTCGCACAAATTCAGCTGACAAATTTTGGAAAATTGCCGGACATAGACGAACAGTGGCAGACGTATTTGTTACATCTTTTGCGGTATTTTTTCTCATTTTCTGATTTTAGAGTATTCGGGGAATTTGTGGACCCAGAAAACTACGTTCTATCGAGTGAAATGATGGCGTTTTTTGTTTGGAAAATTTTTGAAAAAGCTCTCTTGAACGTTTTCCCAGATTCGGTGATCAAAATTCAAGGCAACTGTTACAAGGTACGTGAGGATTGTCACACTTTTGTTTTAAAACGAAATTGTAGATCACTAAAATCGAATATATTGAACCAGCTGTGACTCTAACCATCGAGGGTTCTAATTTCTACGTTGACGTTGATTTAGTTACGTCTTTGGTATTGGATGGACGATTCTGGCCTGGAGGTTCATGTCGTCAGAACCCTTACATCACCCCAAACGTAAGGACTTTTCGTCAAATAACAAAGTGAGCAGCCACAAATTTCAGGAATTTTTTCTCACTCCGACCAGACCTAAAGGGGACTATGACCACAGAGGGAGGTTCTGGCGGTTGTCTTTCCACATGCAAGAAAGACAAATTGTTTTCAATCGGTATAAAATGAAACCAGCGTTCAGGGTGCTCAAAGTAAGTGCCACCATTCGAGAGAAAAAAAAGTAACTAAATTTTTGTAGTGGATACGTGATTATTTTGACCACACGGTTCGCAGCTACGCTATTAAAACGATATTTTTGTGGGAATTGTGTAAAGATAATCCAGTTCTGGATCAGGATACGCCTGATTTGTGGAAAGCTCCTCTCAGTTATATTGTGGTTCACGTAATTTAAACGAGTGTCCATATTCTTTTGTTTTATGGTTCATTGTAGATGCTGGAGAAATATTTGGAGTGTTTAGCGCAAGCCAACATTTCCGATTTTTGGAATAAAGATCTGAATCTTCTGTGTTACCTCTCGGAAGCCGAAATGGAGGTGTACAAAAGGGACACTGCTGAAGTGCTTGATCACGTTAAGAATAATCCGAAAAATTTACTCAGATATCTAGAGTGAAATGATCCCGGGTACTTTTTACACTTAAAACTTAGATCTGATAAATGTATATTAAGTATTTTCTAATAAATGATCTGCTGCTTGTAACGACTTTATCTAAAGTACTTAAATTAATTGCAGAAAATAATACACGTTATTCAGGTGTGATTCCCGCAATTTTCGAATTTTCATTCCCAAGAAAATGTGTCGAATAACAGTCGTTAATTATATTTTGACGTATCTAGGTTACTTCGGCTACCTCTTCCGTGTTTTTATCTTCGCAAAGTTTGCTCTGAAGATTAGAATGTCCGTCGTTACAACACGTCCATTGTTGGCAAATGCAAAACCTCCAGTGCTTCCCCTAAAGCCAATGCTTTATCGCATTGTGGGAGGGGTGCTTTCAAGGAATCACCAGAACCATCGTCGGTACTTCCTCAAATTTTCTACTTTTCACCGAGTCATCTATAAATTCGAGTTTTTAAACTATGACTTCAGTTCCACCTGAAGCCGCAACAATGAGAATTAAAACCAGAGTAAGTGATAAGAAGGTGTTGGCTGAACTGGACAGGTGTTTGGTTGAGGCGAACCGAAAACACCTAATTTCCTGCAACAAACGCGATTTGCACGAAACCAGAACCCGAGTCGAGCAAGTAGGTACTTCATTATTTTTGGCGCGAGTGTAATTTAAGCTTGTAGATTATTAATAAAATCGTGGCTGCGATGATCAAACAAAGCCCGACCTTCTCCAAATTGTATTGCAAAATTTTTGGCGTGGGAAGCAGCTACGAACAAACCAAAATCGAAAAACCGAATGAGTTTGATGTCGATATTGTTTTGAAAATACCAGAAGTGGCAAAACCGGTACTACAGCACGGCGAAGTGGGAGGTTTCGCCCACGTTCAACTAGAAAATTTTGAAGTGTTGTCCAAAGTTGATCCAGATATGTACAGGTATGAAAAGTACAATTGTAACGAGTTAGTATTTTATTTTGTTTTTTTTGACAGAACCTTGAAGGTGTTTGTCGACCAAGAGAATTTTCTTTTATCTGAAGAAATGATGTTGCTGTTCATACAAAAAGTTTTCAACGATGCAAAACTTCATGATTTTCCAGATGGAGTTATCAAAATTGCGTCTAAAGAATACAGAGTGAGTAACTTAGAATTTTAGAAAAAATGTCTATACCGCATTTCAGATTACAAAAGTCGAGTACATCGAACCTGCCTTGACTTTAAATATAGACGGTCCCGAGTTTTCGGTTAGTGTTGATTTAGTGGCGTCTTTTCTTCTTGGTGCGAATTTTTGGCCACCAGATAATTACAGGAAAAATCCGTATTCTCCTGAGAACGTAAGTCGAAAAAATGTCAAAATGTGTAACTGTGGTTGTTTTTAAGGACTTTTTTCTGGCTCCGGCACGACCTATTCAAAACCACCCTCACAAAGAAAGATTCTGGAGGCTATCGTTTCACGTCCAAGAAAGACAAATTATTTTTCATCGATATCGTCTGAAACCTGCGATGCGTGTTCTCAAGGTGGGTACTCCCGTCCGTTTGACTACACAAGTTATAACTTTTTTTTTTGTAGAAAATCTGTGGTCACTTTAACCAAACAGTTTATAGTTACATCATTAAGACTATCTTCTTGTGGGAGCTCTACACCGAAAACCCTAGTTTAAGTTCCGACACGCCTCTTCTATGGAAATCCTCGTTAAGCTATATCGTGCTCTATGTAAGTCTTAAATAAGAAAAACCTTGTTGTGACGACTGTTTGCAGATGCTGGAAAAGTATCTACAGTGTTTGAAAGAAGGTACTATTTCTCATTTCTGGGACGCACGCCTGAACCTCTTGTCGTATTTATCTCAACAAGAAATAGAACAGTACCGGAGTCAGATTGACGCGTTGTTGGAAGACATAAAGCACAATCCTCACCCGGAGGTACTTCTAAAGTACCTTAAATAACCCTTCCAAATACTGAACTTGAATGATAAATGAACAAATCTGTTTTGTTTGTAATTTTTATTTATATTTATTAGAAGTATAAAAAATAAAATTTTATTCTATGTATCTATGTAATTCAACTTCTAAATTACAATCATGAAGCACAAACATTTTGAAATATTAAAACGTCAAGTAGTTGGTAATAGCGAACTGAGTTGGATTTTGTTTGATGCTTTGAAGCAATTCGTCGATTTGTCTCCTATAAGTGTTGATTTGTTCCTTGCTCAAATTATCCAAAAGGTTCAACTTTTTATTCCAAAAATATGAAATCGTTTCTTTAGTCAAGCACTCAAGGTACCTTTCTAACATCTGCAACAAAGTGTCGATAACGTGAAAATTAAAAAACATTGTGTTTACGTGGATGAAGCAACCGCTGGAAGATTTTTTCCACAAATCCGGAGTTTCCTGAGTGAGCTCTGGATTACCATAGAATAATTCCCACATACAGAGTGTCTTAATGGCGTAACTACACACGCCCTGATTGAAATGTTTTTTAATACACTGCAACTATATGATCAAAAAAGGGTATAAAGATACAATAGATTGTACCTTTATTATTCTAATCGTCGGTTTCATCCAGAACCTGTGACTGATGATAATTCTCTCCTGAATTTGGAAAGATAATCTAAAATATCTGTTCAAATGAGGGTGATCCCGTTTTGGTTGTTTTGGAATTAGAAAAAAGTCCTAAAATATGTGACCTGAGAGTCGTCTAATCTGAGTAAGACTCGACTTACGCCACGTCTCGGACAAGGATTAGCTCTAAAACCGCCTTGTGGCCAGTGGCTCTTATTTAACAAAATACAAGGAACCAAATCGACTTCAACAGAAAATTTCGTGTTAACACCGTTTATTGTAAGAGTGAAAGCTGGTCCTGCTTTTCGAACTTTTGAAATCTAGAAGACATGCAATGAATTTTTCAAAAGAAAGACAATTTTTTTCGTCTGACTTACTCTAAATACTTCGTATTTATTTCCTTTAACTGTGACAATTCCTCCCGGAAAGTACTTGGATCGGGTTTTGTCAAAAATGCTTTGCATAAATGTCGACTTGAGTTCTTCGGTTAAGAGAAAATTCTTCTCATCGACAAATTTGTTGTTCATAGCTCTACAAAAAACCAGTAGTTTTGAAAACCAACTCAGAAAGTACTTGCTTGTATAGTTCCGGGTCCTTTTGTTCCAACTTGTGGAAATTTAGTAGCTGTAACTGGACATAACCGGGGATATTGTCTTCGTGTAATTTTGGTTTGGTTATTTCTGGTATTCTAAGGAGGATGTCGATGTCGTAATCTCCTTCTTGTCCTGTTTTTAATCCTTCGTAGCTGCTACCACCACCAAAAGTTCTCACGTATAATTTAGCAAAAACTGAAGATTGTTTTTTCATGTCAGCGGTTATTTTTTTCACGATCTAAAAATGCAGAAATTGAAAGTAACGTGAAATTTGTTTGGATTCAAGAAATGTAGATTTAGGAAAATGTTCTGTTTTTAAAAATTTCCACTGGTTTATTTTCGTCAAAAATTTTCAATAAATCACAGTTACATATATTATTTCGCATATTTGAAAGAGGTGATACCTAGCAAAATTTTAATACGACGTCAGCAAATTTTTAGTTTCCGTCTGAATGAGTAAATTTGGATTTAGCATTTTTATGACATATCGCAATCGGTACGACAGTTTCACAGCATACTCGTCCACAAAATTTTCACTAGATGAACACAAGAAACCCGAATGTTTGTATTCCATGAGCTAGGAACCGTTGAGACAACATGAAATTAGATTTTGATCAAAATAATCTGGTTATAATGCCCCATCACCCAATAGATTACAAGAAAACATACCTTTTCAACCAAAGTCTTCGTGTCATGGTTTATTTGCTTGTCCAGTCGGATTTTTTTGTTGGCAGCAGACAGTCCAGGCTCTAAAGCGGCGTAAGGGTTTGTACTTTTTTTGCCCATTTTCTACCAGAACACTTCGTTCCACAAAGCTTCTCACCGACTGTTGCTTGTTTACAGCACCGTCAGAAAACGTGCGACTACGCGTGACTTACAACTCCGCACCAATACAAAACGTTATATAAATAATTTTAACTGTATTGTTGTTTTGTTGGATTTATTCCATCGGTAGTACCCACATGTCAAAAACGACATAAATCTCTAAATAAATTTTAAGTCTGACTGTGGTAATTGGGTGCCCCTAAAAATTCTCAGGTTTTCCCGAGTTTTTACCATTCTGGCAACAGTGCACCTGCCATGCGCGGCTTTACTTCCATGCGTTCGAAAACACGAGTGCTCAGCAAATGACTCATACTTATCATACGTTATGTCTACTTCAATGTGTTGATTACAGTGTCGCTGCTATCTATTATTTCTCGGAATTTTGTACTATAAGCTTCAAATTTAGAGTTGCTTTCGTGCTGATCACATCCATAAATTCTCTCCAAATCTCCTACTCAAAATTAAAGAAATTATGAATTATCTTGTTATTATTATTATTATGAATTGTTAAGAATTAAAATAGCGATGTCAGAGATAACGATAATTTTTATTGTTATTGTTTTATTGATGGAAATTTTTTTAAGGTAGATACCGCCGGGGGAGTCCCGGTTTTCGTGAAAGTCAAGGTGACACTGAACCGTCGTAAACAGATTACTAGAACAAACTTTACAGTTGTACAAATTTGCTAAAAAGTTTAAATCGATACGAAAATTAATCGTCTGATTCTCCGAAATTTTGGGCATAGTCTGAACCAAATCTAACATAACCGGAAAGAGGAATTGTAGTGAAGTAAACGAGTGTACAATTCTCATCAAACAATCAAATTTTTTACCAGTGGTGTTTTTGCCAACGATATCTAGAATAACGAAATTGCCCAAATATTTGCATAATATGTGTAAAAAATGACATTGAAGGGAGAGACATTGGCGATAAGAGTTTTTATGAAACCCTCTGCTGTGGGTTATTCCAAAGCTCACCTGTGGAGATCCAACTTTATTGAGTCTTTACATAAGAATCATAATAAGACCGAGTTTCCAAACAGGGTGACATCATTGCACTTGATTACAAAGTTTGAATTATAAATACATATAAATTTGGAAAGTTGCTTGATTTCACAACAGTGGGTCACATCATTTTACGAATATTTCTCTCTTATAGCTCAAAGTACTGAGACATTTTTTTGTGCTGCAACCTGCAACTAAAAATGTGCGTAAAAATTATCTTCCAATAAGTTGTAGTGTCAGTCCAATTAAATTGCAGTTTTCAGATGACGTTATTAGTTTTGGGGGGGATACGAAAAGATAAATTTTAGGTAGTGTCAGTTTTTATGGCTGCGACTGAGTTTCGCAGGTCTCTTGTGTTAAATTTGCCATAAATCATAAATTTTGAGGTCCAAGTTGAATCGCCAACGGTGATCGGGAATGAAAAAAGCATCCATTCGTAATGTTTTGGGAATAGTGATCGGTTTAAAAGTTTTGGAAAGAAGAAAGAAGAAGAGTTGAAAAAATAAATGGCCTGTATTTTCAAAAAAATGTCATAATTAATGACAAGGAAGCAAGGTAAGTACTGAACAACTCTTATTTTAATGAAATGTTTCCAAGTGTAAATTTTGCTCAAATTTTGCGAGTCAAAATTGTTCAGTTTAAGAACTGCCAAAATCTATGTGTACTGTAGTCACATTTAGCACTGGTACACAGGTTGCATGAACCAAATACGTTACACACACCCGCGACATCGAAAATTTTGGTCTGCCGTTTTTGCATTTCAACAATCACGTTTTACAATAAAAAAATTATTCATTTCGTTAACCACAATAAAAAAAAAATGTTTCTTCTGGTACGAACATCTTCACGGAAAACAATGTTATCGTTATCGTTGTTTATCAAACAATACAAGTTTCATCGTCACCAATGTTTTTGTGTGCTAAAAAAAACGGAAAGCAATAATAAGATAAATAATGCGCCATCAACAACAAACGTTCGCAAATTGGCTATTTTTCTCATTGTTTGTAACTTGACACTGGCAAATGATGAAGATCGGGCGCCAAATTGAAGACATTTTTGTTGATTTTGATTGAAAGGTTTGTATTTATATATATTTTTTGTGTTATGCTCAGTATTTATCCAATTCTTTCTTGACACTTTGTCACAACAATTGTGGAATTTATTTCAACATTGTGACCGATTTTTCTTGTTTTAGCTATTTCGTTACAATTGTAGTCCGTAAGATATACAAAGTGGGCCAAATTTCGGATGTAAATTCTGTCGTTAATACTGAAAAAAAAGTTTAAATAATATTTTTCTAAAAATTATTTTGTTTCGTGATGCAACTCTTTGGAATTTAACACACAATATTTCTTCATTTCTTGGTGTTCGTCTATGACGAATTTGCTCGGAAATTGATTTTCTTGGGACAAATTGCTCCAGAGCTAAATTTTACATTGCTGTGGAATTAAAAAAAAAATAGATAATAGGTAAATGTTTCACTCCAAACAGCTGCAAAATAAGAAGAAATCATTTTAGAAAAAAACTTGTTTGAACTTGTTTCTTCAGTGTTAACCAAAGAAGTGATGGCCTACACACCCTGTATATACCATTTTAGCATTCATATTTCAGAATAATCGATAGATGTCAATCAATTTACTGGCAATGAACGGAGATAAGCCAGATAATATTTCTCAGACCCAATAAAAACTCAGCGACGTTCGAAACATATGCTGTCAGTTTCGGCCCCCCGAGAGTGAAGATGGCTGAAAAGAAAAAGTATAATTACATGGAAAATGTCCTCACCGAAATTAACAGAAATTTTATATCACTCGATGACAACGAAGTGAAAAGAAATAACAAAATTTTAGAGTCAGTGAGTATTTATCGCTCCAGTTAATTTGTGCCACATATCAGAGTTTCTAGATTTTGTCAACAATTATTGACAAAATGAAACAAAAGGATCCACTTTTCAAAGACATGTTCAGTCGCGTTTTCTACGGTGGAAGCTATTATGACGGCTTGCGGGTTGGTAAACCCGAAGAGTTCGACTTGGATCTGTTGCTAAGTTTGCCGAAGTACGCCGAACCCGAGGTTACGACAAGTAACATGCCTGGATTTGTCCACGTGCAGCTGAAAAAATACGATGCTTGGATAAGGCAACCTGAAGCGATGCCTACGTATAGAAATTTTGGCTCGTTATTTGACAAAGATTATTTTGCGGACACGCAAAAGGTGTTGGCTTGGATGGAAGGAATTGTTCAGAAAACATTAAACGAATTTCCGAAAAAAGGACCCAAAAGCGTTTTGACCACCCAGAAGGATGGCAGTTTTGAGGTGAGTTGATGGTTTGTCAGGACTGTGTGGGTAACTATTTTGTTATGAAATGTTTATATTTAAACAGAGAAATGCGGAACGATAAAATCCGATAAAATAATTTAGCCTTTAATAAGTTTATATTTTACTTGTTGAGTTTGCTTCCGCAAGTAGTTGAATTTCTAGGAAAACGAATACGATATTTTATCAAATATATATTATTGAATCAATAGATAAAAAGGTAACTAATAAAGACATTTTCAGATTATCGTTCAAAAAAGTGGACCAGCCTTGACACTCAAAATTTCTGGTTCTGGTATTACCATGGACGTTGATCTCGTCCCATGCTTCGTTTTTCGTGAAGACAAATGGCCTAAATCGGGATTTAAACCCAATCCTGTAAAATCGAAAGTAAGAGAATACACTTTCATTAAATTTAAGTCTCTTCGAAAAATTGTAGCCTGAATTTTTTATTGTTCCGAAAAACCCTAAAACCACCAATGGGACCCCAACCAGATACTGGAGACTGTCGTTTCAAGAACAGGAACGAGTTTTAATAGACAACAAACGCACTCTTAAACCAACAATTAAATTGTTGAAAGTGTGTACGAAGACAAATGTCAATGTGTTAAGTAATCGTCTGTTTTTTAGAAATTAAGAGATAATTTGCAGCATAAGTCTATTGCAAGCTACTATATTAAAACTGCAGTTTTACATATTTCCGACACCAAATCTGATGACTTCTGGACAAACTCGCTGAGTTATACTTTTATGACAGTATTAAAGGAATATATAAATTTTATTAAAAATGGAAAAATTCCTTATTATTGGAATACAAACAACAATCTAATAGGAGGGCTTAATCCCAGTACCTTACAAAATATGGTTAATAGACTTAATGCCATGGTAACTGTCATCGAAAAAAAACCAGATGATCCTTACACCATCGCAAAGTATTTACGTAAGTATTACACGAAATCGTTAATTATAAGCGAATTAGCTAAACTTATAAATGAAAAAGTTTCAAATCTAAAGTTATAAATCTTATTTTCAAATTTCAAAAATATGTTTTGGAAAATGAAAAACTTCTGTGCCAAACTATGGCATTACTGTTATCAATGTTATCGCGTCTTATCATATTTTAATTACATTAAACTTACAACCTGTCAATCCACATCCGAATCTGTGGCTAACTCTAAAGTACAGGTCCATTTTTCATAATATTAATTAATAAAACAGTTTTCTCTTATTTTCAGTGAACAACGAGGAACAAATCATTTTAGGTATGGGCGGACTTGCACTAAAGTAAGTGTTTTTATGGATCGTTTGCTCTATATGCAATATGAAAAGTGGTGTGAAGCCAGTGTGGAACAATGTACAAATAAACTTTTATTTATTATTTTCATCAGTATTTTTTTCACCCACAGATGTTCACCTAGATGAGATATGTTATAGTGTACACCGAAATGAAATTCCATAAGTTTAGCATCAATTCATCACGATAATTTAAAAATCTTCTATATTATATGTAACCAAATAAACATCGTAAATTTGTACTAGAACTCAATAATCAAGGGTTTTACTTTGAGGATTAGTTCCTATTTGAGTGCTCTGAGTTCCCAAAGGATTCTGTACAATTATTCGAAGCCATTTTCTCAATCAGAGGATATTTTAAATGGGTTTCAAAATTAAAAATATGTTAGAAATATAGTTTTCAATTATATCTACATAAATAATTAAGACACAATTACAAAAGGACACTGTTAGTAATTTAACACACGGTATTACCGAGATTTGCGTATAATAATCATCACCCGGAAAAGTGTAAATTTTTGGGTCTGCAGACCATAAGAATAATTTTTTGTGAATTTGTTACTTCCCTTATTTTCCCTAAGAAACGTTTTTAAATCGCAAATTTCTTTTATGTAACAAAATATTTAGTCAGTAATAAAATTAAATTAAAAGAACTACTCAGCTTTAATGAAATTGTTCACGTCGACTACCGGCTTCAGTTCGACGAGTCAAAGGATTTCGCACATTTTTAAAAATGTTAGGGATGTTGCGAGTTCTTTCCACAATGACTTCAACGAAACCACTTAGGTCTTCCAAACTGTCAATCTTAATGCTGTAAATCTTGTTCTGTAAAGCACTCCAGAGGAAAAAAACACGTGATCGTGCGGGACACTGAATTGGCTTCTTCATTTCTTGGTTCGTTTATAACGAATTCTCCCCGAAATTGATTTTCTTGGGACAAATTGTTCCAGAGCTGAATTTTCCATTGCTGTGGAATTAAAAAAGATAGATAATAGGTAAATGTTTCACTCCAAACAGCTTCAAATTAAGAAGGTAATCATCTTGGAAACAAATTTGTTTAAACTTTTTACTTCAGTGTTAACCAAAGAAGTGATGGCCTACACTTTCCGAAACATCCTGTATATACAATTTTAGCATCCATATTTTAAAATAAACAATACACGTCAATCAGTTTACTGGTAATGAACGGAGATAAGCGAGATAATATCTCTCAGACTCAATAAAAGCTCAGCGAAGTTCGACACATCTGCTGTCAGATTCGGTCCCCCAAAAGTGAAGATGGCTGAAATGAAAAAGTATAATTACATGGAAAATGTCCTCACCGAAATTAACAGAAATTTTATATCACTCGATGACAACGAAGTGAAAAGAAATAACAAAATGTTAGAGTCCGTGAGTATTTATCATTCCAGTTAATTTGTGCCACATATCTGAGTTTCTAGATTTTGTCAATAATTACTGATAAAATGGAAGAAAAAGATCCACTTTTCAAAGACATGTTCAGGGGCGTTTTCTACGGTGGAAGCTATTATGACGGCTTGCGGGTTGGTAAACCCGAAGAGTTCGACTTGGATTTGTTGCTAAGTTTGCCGAAGTACGCCCAACCCGAGATTACGACAAGTAACATGCCCGGATTTGTCCACGTGCAGCTGAAAAAATACGATGCTTGGATAAGGCAACCTGAAGCGATGCCTACGTATAGAAATTTTGGCACGTTATTTGACAAAGATTATTTTGCGGACACGCAAAAGGTGTTGGCTTGGATGGAAGGAATTGTTCAGAAAACACTAAACGAATTTCCGAAAAAAGGATCCAAAAGCGCCACCAAGGATGGCAGTTTTGAGGTGAGTTGAGGTGCTTTGATGGTTTGTTAGGACTGTGTGGGTAACTATTTTGTTATGAAGTGTTTATATTTAAACAGAGAAATGCGGAATGACAAAATCCGATAAAATAATTTAGCCTTTAATAAGTTTATATTTTACTTGTTGAGTTTGCTTCCGCAAGTAGTTGAATTTCTAGGAAAACGAATACGATATTTTATCAATTATATATTATTGGGTCAATAGATAAAAAGATAACTAATAATAACTAAGACATTTTCAGATTATCGTTCAAAAAAGTGGACCAGCCTTGACACTCAAAATTTCTGGTTCTGGTATTACCATGGACGTTGATCTCGTCCCATGCTTCGTTTTTCGTGAAGACAAATGGCCTAAATCGGGATTTAAACCCAATCCTGTAAAATCGAAAGTAAGAGAATACACTTTCATTAAATTTAAGTCTCTTCGAAATATTGTAGCCTGAATTTTTTATTGTTCCGAAAAAACCTAAAACCACCAATGAGACCCCAAGCAGATACTGGAGACTGTCGTTTCAAGAACAGGAACGAGTTTTAATAGACAACAAACGCACTCTTAAACCAACAATTAAATTGTTGAAAGTGTGTACGAAGACAAATGTCAATGTGTTAAGTAATCGTCTGTTTTGTAGAAATTAAGAGATAATTTGCAGCATAAGTCTATTGCAAGCTACTATATTAAAACTGTAGTTTTACATATTTCCGACACCAAGTCTGATGACTTCTGGACAAACTCGTTGAGTTATACTTTTATGACAGTATTAAAGGAATATATAAATTTTATTAAAAATGGAAAAATTCCTTATTATTGGAATACAAACAACAATCTAATAGGAGGGCTTAATCCCAGTACCTTACAAAATATGGTTAATAGACTTAACGCCATGGTTACTGCCATCGAGAAAAAACCAGATGATCCTTACACCATCGCAAAGTATTTACGTAAGTATTACACGAAATCGTTAATTATATAAGCGAATTAGCTAAACTTATAAATGAAAAAGTTTCAAATCTAAAGTTATAAATCTTATTTTCAAATTTCAAAAATATGTTTTGGAAAATGAAAAACTTCTGTGCCAAACTATGGCATTACTGTTATCAATGTTATCGTCTCTTATCATATTTTAATTACATTAAACTTACAACCTGTCAATCCACATCCGAATCTGTGGTTAACTCTAAAGTACAGGTCCATTTTTCATGATATAAATTAATAAAACAGTTTTCTCTTATTTTCAGTGAACAACGAGGAGCAAACCATTTTAGGTATGGGCGGACTTGCACTAAAGTAAGTGTTTTTATGGATCGTTTGCTGTATATGCAATATGAAAAGTGGTGTAAAGCCAGTGTGGAACAATGTACAAATATATGTTTTAAAGTACAAGTAAATTTTTATTCATTATTTTTATCAGTATTTTTTTCACCCACATATGTTCACCTAGATGAGATATGTTATAGTATGCACCGAAATGAAATTCCATAAGTTTAGCATCAATTCATCACGATAACTTAAAAATCTTATATTATATGCAACCAAATAAACATCGTAAATTTGTACTAGAACTCAATAATCAAGGGTTTTACTTTGAGGATTAGTTCCTATTTGAGTGCTCTGAGTTCCCAAAGGATTTTGTACAATTATTCGAAGCCGTTTTCTCAATCAGGGGGTGTTTTAAATGGGTTTCAAAATTAAAAATATGTTAGAAATATAGTTTTTAATTATATCTACATAAATAATTAAGACACAATTACAAAAGGACACAATTTATAATTACTGCCAGAAATTAATTATGGCAAAATGAAAGCTATCACAACATTGTACACGTAATAATAATTATTAACACACTATAGTGACACATACATTAATCGACTTTTGTTCCAAGTTTTGATTTGTGTAAGTGCAATATTTAGGTACTTAGCCCAACATTCAAATTCCTGTTGCGTTTCAAAACACATCAGAACGCCGTCACTTCCATTTATTTTCAAACAAATGGTGCGTTTCACAAAACACTCTTCCCTTGATGGAATTGTTAACTCACAGGTTTCTAAGTTTATAACATCTATTGGTGTGGTCTCGCACAGGTCGTTTGGCCGATAGTTATAGTAATTCAAAACTCCATCCACGAAGTAACAAAACTTTCTATCCCAAGAAAGATAATGTTCCCAAGTTTTGTTTACATATACAAATCCATATAATTTCATATTGATATTCGCACGACTGGAGATACGAGCTGTAAGGAGTCCGGAATCCATTTGTATTTGCAGATTGCCAGATTTCGTTAGATGACGAAACTCGATGTCCTCTTCACCGCAAAGCGAAAAAACTGATTTTCGATAAGGGACTTCATTCTCGTACTCACGGTAATCACAAAAAGCGTCTGAGGGGCTAATTTTTTTTAAGTCCTGTAATTGATGAGTTTGTTTATTTTCTGATAAATTAGAAAAAGGAAAAGAACATACCTTAGAACAAGCCGAATATATTTGAAGATTCAACTTAAAATTGGGTTGTAAATTAGGTATCTTGAATTTTGTGTTAAAGTAAATTCCGCCGTTGGATTTCATTTTCTCTCCTTCAGTAGCAAATACCTTGGACCCGGAAATAATCAGACACACAAAATGTTGATTTTTGTACATTTTAGGAAACACATGGATATTGGAAATTTCGATGTCTCCTGAACTAAATCAGTTTGCATTTTCAACAAGTGCAAGTTGTTTAGGTTCGCAATAAAGCGATTCTAGTCTTGCATCTGTAAAGAGAATGTAAAAACTGTCCAATAACATATGCACAAGATTTACCTATGATAAGAAGTAATTTTTCGGCTTCCAGCCTCCCTTTGCTCAAAGTTAATCTGTTTTGCTTTTCGTGACATTCCATTGCTTTCAATATTTGGTCCTTAGTTTGTTGTAGAATCCAATATTTTGTTTTCAGTAATTCTAACGACAAGTTAGAACTTTTGTCGCTACTTGTTTTCTCGGTTTCAGAAGAATATTCTTCAGACGACGGTGAACTAATCTCCTGTGTTGATGTATCTGCATTTATGCAATTATCCAAATAGCGTAGCACATTGTCAACAAATTCCCCAATCGTTGAAATTCCACGTTCATTTGAAATTAAAGTTGATAAATCTGACGTATTGATGCTGAGACCAGAGTTCTAAAAGAAGTTGTTTTTAATAGTTAGCAACTTTATCGAGTTGTTTATGCTTACGTTTTTAGTAATTTTGGTACTACACTGCGAGTTTTCGCAGTTACTGCCACTGGAGGAGCCAACCATTTGCCACTTTGGTCTCCGACAAGACGAATTTACACAATTTTTGTGAAATCGGGAACCAAATTTCGACATTACTAGAGATTGCACAACTTCCTTGTTTCTTGTGGGGTTGAAAGAATTTTCAGTAGAATTAAGTGATGCACCTCTAAATGGACACACAGCACACAATGCTCTTCGAAATACTGATGTCCCGGACCAGGTATAGGGTGGTATTTATCCTTGAGAGAGATAAACCCAACGCAAATGTTTTGAGCCTATGGGCGGATCGGTTTAGCCTGCCCTCACCGAAGAAGGCGGTCCAAATCCTTCAAGGGCAGAATTTGTAGGTAGGCTCAAACTACAACGAAATTTACATTTGGTACATGGCTCACACCAGTTCTCTCGAATTTGTCGGAGAAGATTTAGCAGGTAGTTGTTCCCATAAAATAATGGTCACTTTCGTTCGTGAGTAACGATGGTCCGGACAGGAATTATTTTGCTTTCTAACATCTTTCGACCACTTGTTCCGTATAAAAAATTTCATCACTTTTTCAAATAAAATACTCTTAAATGTTCATAATAAATAAATAAAAAAAAAACGATATTGTCGTTGAGTGACATGTATAACTGTCATAATAATAAAAACGTGCCATTTTTGTTAACTGATATTTTTTTCATAAATGTCGGAAAATTATCATATTTGTCTAATCATCCCCACCAATAATGTGATGACGGCACTTCAAATTTATGCATAGTAAATGGGTTTTAAGTTGTATAGAGTAACATAGTCCTACACATGCAGTTTATGACTCCGTGTTGAGTTTTTATCCGAAACGTCCAGACTTTTGGAAAAAAAATCAAAATTATAAAACAATATTTTGCAATTTAATTTTGAATTTGCAAAATCGAATACTTTGAAATCTTGCAGATGTTTTAAAGTCATGATAAACATGATACATTTTTAATTAAAATATATTTGCTTATCCCCTCTAAAAAATGTATGACGTCACCTCAAAATTTTAGAAGAAATCCTATCTTAACTGTATAAAATATGTGATGTTATGAGTTTTTATACTTGTGATTTATCACTGCATTAATATTTTTTAGATTTGGTTATACAGGGTGTCTCAAAAAAGTTAATGACTGAGTGAATTTATTTTATTGAAGAAATCAAGAATAGCAAAACTGAATACTTTGAAATATTGTAGATGCAGCATTTCAAAGCATTTGGTTTTGCAGATTTTATTGATTTAATCAATAAAATAAATTGACTTGGTCATGAAATTTTTGAGACAGCCTGTATAAGTAAATCTAAAAAATATTACTGCAATGATAAATCGCAGGTATAGACTCATCATATCAAATTTTGCGATGACGTCATGCATTTTTTGGCGAAGATAAGCAAATACATTTTGATCGTGGCTTTGAAAGTATTCTTCGACTTTCGTTCCATTTCAAAATTTACTCTTTGTATATTTCAGTGGTCACAACGAGCTCACTAACTACGCTGAAGTATGCGAAGATTAAATTTGTCACCGAAAAGATGTCGGAAGTAATAAATTATCCTATCGGTCGAAGAACGTTCGGTCCGGTGTTACACCTCGACCCAAGAAAGACCGCAGTAAAGGATAACAAATGGAACGAATAAAATAAAGCGTCAAACATGGTTGATAAACTTTAAACCAAAATTATGAAGTTTATAAACTGAACATTTTTTTTGTTTTATGAAATGTAGTACACTTCAAAAAATGTCCGTGACTTATTTTAATGTGAATTTTATAACTATGGTTGGTACAATTAGACCTAATATTAGTGTGATTTTGAGCATATTCTCGATTTTATTAGAGCAGAATAGGTTTTTTTTTTCTAATTTTATAAGTTACGGAAACTAATAGCACATCACAGATATTGCAAAAAAAATTGGGCTCAGGTTCCAACTAATTGACAAGATTTCAAAGTATTCAGTTTTGCAATTCTTGATTTCTTCAATAAAATAAATTTACTCAGTCATTATTTTTTTTGAGTCACCCTGCATGTATAAACAAATCCAAAAAATATAAATGGAATGGTAAATCACAAGTATAGACTCATCATATTCTGAACATTTTAGATAGGGTATTTATAAAATTAAAACTAATTCAGAGTAAGAATTTGGTCAACACGTAATTTCGTTGTACTTTGAGCCTACCTACAAATTCTGCCCTTGGACGATTTGGACCGCCTCCTTCGGTGACGACCGGCAAAAATGATCCGTCCATAGGCTCAAAACATTTGCGTACGATTGTAAAGATTCTCCAGAATTATAAGAATTTTATGGACTCCCAACGTTAATTTGTTTCATAGTTCAAGCGTCAACTCTATTGTACAGGTAAAGAGCCTGTCAGGGGAAAACCGATCTTTTCTGTACCTGAGTTCGTCCCGCTCATCAGCTAAACAATAAAACTGACAACAGGGCTGTAAAACAAATTAATTTTGGGAGTCCATAATTCATATAATTCTGGACAATCTTTACCACGAATACGAGTTAATCCGTTCTAGGAAGAGAAGAAAATATTAGTACTATAAGTGCCAGTTCAGCACAAAACTCATCTCATGGTTTTTTACCCTGTTTTTAGAGGTATATTTAAAAATGTAACATTTTTAAACACGTTACTGGGCTTTTAAAATACGTTAAAAAAGTTAAAATTTTAAGGCATTTTGACCTGTTTTTAAGTTTGTACTGTAAGGGTCTGTTCAGTACAACTGTTAAAATTTTGAGGATTCTGCACTGTTTTTAAGGTAAAATCGGGAAAATGAAAAATAAAAACCAAGAATTTGAAATATTGAGGAAACGAAAAATTGAAACATTGGTCTAAAGAGTTTAGACAGTACTTCCCTCGCTGTCGGAAACGTGACGATTCCATGCCTATTATGTTTTTTTTTGCAGTAGATTTCAAAGCGTTCGGTTTTGTAGTTCCTGAGTAAACCAATAGAATAAATTTACGCATTGATAATTTTTTTTGAGTCACCCGGTATATACAAATTCAACAAATATGAATGGAATGATAAATTACAAGTACAGACTCATCATATTTTGTATATTCTAGATAGGATTTATTCGGCAAACTTTTGAGCTGACGTCATCAGTTTTTTGGAGAAGATAACCAAATATA